CAGACTCCCCACTGAGCAGGGTACACGATGAGGGGCTCTATCACAGGACCCTGGGATCATGGCCTGAGCTGAAGGCAGACACTTAATTGACTGAGCCACCCACGCACCCCTTTTCTGTTCCTTTCTTCTCTTGCTCTCTTCTCTCAGTTTGCTGAGATTCCTTTCTCTTTATTTTTTGCATATCTACTACTGGTTTTTGATTTGTGGTTACCACTAGGTTTGTATATAACATCTTATGCATATAGCAGTCTATATTAAGTTGATGGTCACTTAAGTTTGAACCCATTCTTTAGTCCTCTCCCCCAACCCCCACGTTTTAGGTATATGGTGTCATAATTTACATCCTTCTATTTTGTGAATCCATTGACTGGTATTTGTAGGTACACTTAATTTTACTGCTTTTGCACTTCTCATTTTTCTTACTCCTGTTTAGGGTCTTTCCTTTCCACTCAGAGTCTCCTTTAACATTTCTTGTGGGGCTGGTTTAGTGGTCATGAATTCCTTTAACTTTTGTTTGTCTGGGAAGCTCTTTATCCCTCCTTCTATTCTGAATGATAGCCTTGCTGGATAGAGTATTCTTGGCTGCAGATTTTTTTCCTTTTAGCACTTTGAATCATGCCACTCCCTTCTGTCTGTAAAGTTTCTGCTGAAAAATCAGCTGATAGCCTTATGGAGTTTCCCTTCTATATGCCATCTTCTTTTCTCTCACTGCTTTTAAAATTGTCTTTTTGTCACTACTTTTTGCCATTTTAATTACTATGTGTCTTAGTGTGGACCTCCTTGGGTTGATTTTGTTGGGGGCCCTCTGTGCCTTCTGGATCTGGATTTCTGTTTCCTTCCCCAGATTCAGGAAGTTTTCAACTATTATTTCTTCAAATAAATTTTCCACCCCCTTTTCTCTCTCTTCTCCTTCTGGGTCCCTATAATGTGAATGTTATTACGTGTGATGGTGTCACTGAATTCCGTAAAACTATTTTCATTTTGTATTACTTTTCTTCTCTCACCTGCTCAGTTGGATTGCTTTCCACTACTCTGTCCTCCAGGTCACTGGTCCATTCTTCTGCTTCCTGTAGTTTACTATTTATTTCATCTAGCATATTTTTCATTTCAGTTATTGAGCTCTTCATTTCTGATTGGTCCTTTACTACGTTTTCTGTCTCTTTGTTAAGGGTCTTACTGAAGCCTTCCACTCTTTTCTCAAGTCCAGTGAGCATCTTTATGATCACTACTTTAAATTCTCTATCAGGCATATTACATATCTCCTTCTCATTTAACTCTTTTGCTGTGATTTTGTCCTGGTCTTTTGTTTGGGACACAGTCCTCTGTCTCTTCATCTTGTCTAACTCTCTGTGTCTGGTTCTATGTATTAGGAAGGTCAGCTGCATCACCAGCTGTTGAAAGTAGTGACTTTATGAGGAAGAGTTCCTATGGTGCCCTCTGTTCTGTTCATCAGAACTTGGCACTTGAGGGGTGTCTCCTTTGTGTTTCGTGCACCCTACTATTGTGGCTGAATTGCTTTTGCCTTCAGTCCATTCATTTGCAATGGCTCTCTTTGCCTGTTGTGGGCAAGGTTTGATGCCTGTGTTCTTAGTGGGCCAGTCTGGGGCCACCTGAGACTTGAGTTGAGTCAGACCGGGTGTTTATCAAAGATGCAGTAGCACTGAACTGCAGGATGCTTTCTTTGTGTTGTACCCTGAAAAACTTTTGCTGGTAGGCAGGGCCTATAGTCAGACCAAATATCTGCCCCCAGCCCATTGCTGCAGTCAGACTGGTGTGTGTATGTTTACCTTCCCCTCTGCCCAGGGTAAGAGTAACTTTGGAATGGTGCTGTCCCCTGTCAGGACTGCTTGCACACCGCCAGGCTTGTGGCACCACACTGGACCAGCTCCAGGCAAGGACTTATTGAAGGGGACAAGTCCCCAGAAAATGCAGAAGGCAGGGCTTGCAGTGTTAGCACGTTTATGAGGGTCTGCTGTGGGAGAGGACCTAGAGCCGAGGCCTGGGTGGAGGGGGCATGTCTGCAGGAGAACAAAGGGGTGGGGTGTGCTCTTAGCAAGTTAGGTAGCAAGCGTTGCCACTACACTGGTTCCTGCTGGTGTCCATGTATCTTGGCTGTGCAGCAAGGGAGGGAAATGCTGCCAGCCAGCTCCTTTGTTTCCAATGATCCCTGCCCATCCAGCACATGCTCTGAGATTAGTAAACAAGTCTCCCTCCTGTATAGCCCAGGTGTTTTTCAAACTGCTGCTTCTATGCTGTATCTCTGTGGAGCTATTTGTTGTCTTGTCTCTTTAAGGACAGGGACTCAGTTTCCTTTCTTCTTCCAGGTCCCCCAGAGCAGGGCCTGCTGATTTTTGAAGTTCCAGGTGTTAAGCCCCACTGATTGTGAAAATTTGTGAAATTATGCCCCTCTGGTTTTCAGAGCCAAATGTTGTGGGGATTTGTCTTCCCCATGCGGGTTCCCTATGCCTGTGGTGCTTGATGTGAGGATCCATTTTGCTCCCAACTGCATCTCCACACTTTCTACCCTCGTTGATGTAGACTCCTCTCTACACTGAGCTGTGGAGAGTCTGTTCTGCCAGTCCTCGGGGTGTTTTCTGGGTTATTTATATGGATGTGGATGTTACCTAGTTTTATCCATGGATGGGGTGAGTTTAGGGCCCTCCTACTCCACCATCTTCCCCCAAAGTGTCAGCAATCCAAATGTGTCAGCATTTTAATATCCTGTATGGCCAAACTAGGAATACCAGCTGCATATTAGCCTTGCTGTACCCAGAATGGACTGGAAGACAGTTTGGAACAGATAATGTGGCATCAGGATTCACAAATAAATATGGTTTTCCCACTGTGTGAAGAACTACTTCAGAACTGTAAAAGATATAGAATTGTTTTTAGTCTCAGTACGAGGCTCACACAGAGCTTCTAAGCACAGGGACTTCAGGGCTTGCATTCACAGCATGGGCAACCTTAAGCCAGATGTGACAAAAACTAAGCTTGCCTCAGCTGCTCCTTTATCTCCCCCTTCCTTGCACACCTGCTCTTTCCTGGCCTTGGCCTCCTTCACCCCTGGGTGCTCTATCTGATGTTCCCTATCTGACATGCCGCCAATGCTCCCAGAGCATTTCATGCTCTTGATACATTCATCCGATATCAAAATGCCCTGCCCTGTGTCTTTTTCCCTCAGCTCTCTGCTCTCTCAGAAACTGAGAAACCCATCTGCATTCAGTTGCCGATGGTTGAAAGTATGCTACACAATTGGGGAAGGAGGCTGGTTCTATCCATTCTACATAATGTTCGCCCTGATTTCCAGGAACACATCCTTACCATGCTCTGTTGAACTAAGTAAATAAATAAGAAGGGCTACTCTCTGGCCATGACCCTTCCACAACTCACAGAGCAGCACCTTACCACCCCTAGCTCCCCAACTGTGAGATCTAAGCCAGTTGGCTGGAGCTGTGACTCAGCCAGAGCCAAGGGTCTAAACTTGAGGACCACCTCATCATAAATTAGACTAGATCAGACTGAGATCAAGGGAGCTACAGTGTATGAAATGGGAGGAGGGAGAGAGAGAACAGGCCCTTGTCTCAGAATCTTTTTCACACCCACCTTCTGTCATGCCTACAATCCATTGAATCATAAGAGCTTCTCAAGATTCTAGTATTGATGAGAATAGACACAGCCCCTGGGAAATACTATAATTCAGTGTTTATTCATCTATTCATCTTTCCCAAACATTTTTGAGCACTGCGAATATGCAAGACATCTACAGTTGTATCATTTAACAGTGATCAAAAATACATCCCAAAGCCTCCAAGTCTCTATCATGTCATCTTTTCAATTATCACTTATCTGCCTTTATCACTCTCTGAAGTTAGGCCACCTATCTGTCCACTTGTCTGTTTGCATCCTTTCTGACCTTCCCCAACATGTACCTCACAAGAGAAGAGACCTGACCTGGCCCATCACTGTAATCCCACTGCCTAGAACAGTGTCTGCATGTAATAGCACAGTGTGAGTATTTTGTTGAATGAATCAGAGTGAGACAATGATGGTGATGATAGCCAATCCTGGAAGTAGCTATGCTGTGCAACACGCTGTTCTGGTTTCTCTGCGTATATTATTTTATTTAATCCTCACAATCCAATGAGGCAGGTGCTGTTATTATTCCCATTTACTCAGAAAATTGAAACCAGAAATGTTAAGTAAAATGCCCAAGGTCACACAGTTAGTGAATGACAGAACCACACCTCAAGCCCAGGCAACCTGGCTCCAGAGCCCATGATCATAACCACTTCCCTGCACTGCTCTGCAAAGAGAAGCAAGACAGACCTGGTCCCTTAGAGAAAATTCTAGTGGGGAACTTGAAACAGGAGATGAATGGTCATCCCACAAGCTAGAATGTGATAAATGCAGTGAGAGGCCATAGACTAGGCGATGGGTTAGTTCAAGGGGTCTCAAGAATACCCTTTCTGAGGGATGCCTGGGTGGTTCAGTCAGTTAAGGGTCTACCTTTGGCTCAGGTCATGATCTCAGGGTCTTGGGATAGAGCCCCACGTCAGGCTCCCTGCTCAGCACGGAGCCTGCTTCTCCCTCCCCCTCTCCCTCTGCCTGCTCCCCCTGCTTGTGCTCCTTCCCTCCCTCTCTCCCTCAAATAAATAAAATCTTAAAAAAAAAAAAAAGAATATCCTTACTGAGTGGCAGAATAGGATCCAGGTGCCCTTGAGTTATGGAGAGGACTGCCAGGAAAAGATGGGGAGAAAAGTATCCCAGAAAAAGGGAATAGTATGACAAAAGTCACAGAAGTAAAAAATATGAAGCCACGTTCAGAGACTGGTGTGAGGAAGAAAAGGAGTTTGTCCAGATGGAGCCCAGGACTGCAGAGGCAGAGGACGAAGTGGTGGAAGCTGAGGCTGCGTTGGGGGTGAAGAGGGGTGTGGGCACTTCATGTGGAAGCGGGGGTGACATGATCTGAAGCTTACCTTTGAAATGCCTATCTGTTCTAGCCTGGCGACCAGGAATAATGGTCACTAAGACACTGGAGACCCAGGAGGTGGGCAATTTGCCCCGAGGATGAAGAATGTCATTTCCAGCAGTCAAGGTGGTGCGGGGCGGCGGCGGTGGGGGGGGGGGGCGGAACCCACTTGGAAATGATCAGAGGACCAGTCGATGTCAGAGGCTTGATGGGCAAGAAGGCACCTGGAGGGAACAGTGAGAGTGGAAAGATGCACCACTGAACTGGGAACAGGTTGGGCTCCAAAGACGATGTGTTTGACAACTTTGCTCTGGCCCGTCCCTGTTCATAGATGTCATTTAAATTCTGAACCTCAGACCTTCGTGCTGAGACTTTCTTTCTTTTCCCCTTCCCCCCAGTTCATGAAGAGCTCCCTGCAAATCTCATCCTTTTGGATCCTCTCAGGCCTCTGGGTTTTCTGTTAAATTTAAACAAAACATGGAGTATCTACCGCTGATCTGTGGTGTTATTTAAAATGCCCTGAGGCTGGGATGCGTGGGTGGTTCAGTTGGTTAAGCATCTGCCTTTGGCTCAGGTCATGATCCAGGGTCCTGGGATCGGGTCCCGCATTGGGCTCCTTGCACAGCCGGGAAGCCTGCTTCTCCCTCTCCCACTCCCCCTGCTTGCTCAGTCTCTCTCTCTCTCACACTCTCTCTGACAAATAAATATCATAAAAATCTTTAAAAACAAAAAATAAAATAAAATAAAATAAACAAAATGCCCTGAAGCAAAATAAATTTCAAGCCAGGAATACACCCTTCTAATCCCCAAAATGGAGTTTTTGTAAGGAAAAGGGAGCAGATGAGCCATGGTCCTGGACTGAACAAAGGAAAAGATGTTTACGCACAGCAACTATTTTGCTGTCGGCAATTAGAGAAAGTTGACATCCAGGGGGGAAGTAGGCTTGTTACGGAACCTGGACTGGATGGCCCCATGGAAGAACCAAGCGGCACTCGGAGATCTTGGAGGATAGGAGGCTTATTTAATGCCGGCGGGCTCAGAGGAGAGTGGTCTCCAAAGGTCTAAGCCCCACACAAACAAAGGGGGCAATTTATATATTTCTACTTCCACATACTTGGCACTTTTGGCACGTGCGTGAAGCGGGGCAGGGAGAAGAACCCGGATTGGTGCGTGGGAAGCAGAGCAGGGAGAAGAACCCGGAAGAGCCCCGGGGCAAGGACTGGGACTCTCTTGCTGGCTTGGTCAGCCATCCTAGGACACAGATTTTCCTTATCATTCCCCCCTTTGATGCCCCTTTAAACACCTAGTTTAGAGGGCATCATTGTGTTTGACTCTGAAGGTTGACAGCAAGGCTTGGGGCGAACACAGACTTAATCATAAACTTAACAGCACACCAGGTAGCAGAAGACCAGGACTGATTGGGGCCAGGAAAACCGTGGTGAAATGCGCTCAGGAGTAGACAGCAGAGGGCCAGTAAAAGTGGGATCTATGACCTTAGGTAGAAGCCTCTGGGGGAAAGTCCAGTCAGGAGGGGCAACAGTGCAGAGTCCGACTCCCAAGATGAGAGAAATCACGCCGATGAGAGCCAGGGACCACGGTGAGCAGATGTCCATCAGTCAGTTGGGTCTCGTCGAAGGTGAAGCTGGAGCGGGTTCGTGAAGTCTGGCTGGACGCTCCACTGGCACAGCTCCTCGTCCAAATGATGAGCTTTCTTCTTTCTTCCAATCTTTGACCCAAACTGAGTCCCCTGTCTGGAAGAAGTGTACCTGAGACCCTAAGGAGATTGGGGCCCTCTCAAAGGTGTACTTTTATAGGGTGGCCCCCAGGGCCTGAAGCTGCTCCTTTATCCCTTTATCTCCAACCTGGTGCAAGTTTCCTGGAAAGTTTCCCAAGCACTGGGGAAGCTGTCCATATGTTAATTAGAAACCTGATGTCCCGGGCGTGCAGCGAGCACGCAGGAGAGCTAGGGGTAGCAGATCTGGCCATGAAAGTTAGTCTCCTGACAAAACTTTGCTAAGGTTCCCTTGAGGGTGCAATTCACTCACTCTACTGTTCAGAGACCCCGTCTCCTCTTGCCTTGGTTCGATCGGAGCCTAGTGTGTCCAGTGGGCTCAAAGGTTATCTGGGCCCTTAAACTTAGAGAGTACGTCTCGGCCCAGGAGAGGGATGAGGCAATCAGGCAGATAAAGGAATTCACGTCGGACCCTGTGGCCCCCGAGTTCGCACTGGCGAGCCTGGCAAAAGGGCTGTTGTATCACCCACGTCCTGGTGACCCCAAGGATGGTCGCAGTCCTTTTGCTGAGAGGGGCCCCTGGGGAGGTGACAACAGAGTGCTTGGCCCCAGTATCAACCATAAAATTCACTGGTTGGCCCCCCACCTTCATTCTGACTGTGGGCTCATGGGGGCCAAGGAGGAAAGAGCCTGGTCCCCCTCAGTCTGAGTCCATTCCCAAAAGGCCTATGAGGTCCTCCTCTCGGGGTTCTTCCTCATAGCGGCTGGGCATTCATTTTTCCAGTGCCCTTTCTCTCTACAATAGGCACATTGATCCCTTGCCAAGGGGGTTCTGGGCTTCCCTCCTTTCGGTGGTTGGGGTCTCCCCGTCTTTGTGTTGTCCTTTTCTTTCAGGGCGGCGGCAAAGAGGCTGACTTTCTTTTTCATCTTTTTGTCGGCTTCCCGTTCGGCTGCGACCTCCCTGTTCATGTAGACCTTATTGACAATCTCTATTAGTTAGGTGATTTCATCCCAGCAAAACGCTCTAGTTTCTGAAGTTTTTTTCTGATGTTTGGGGTGGCCTGAGCCACAAAGGAGGTGTTTACCATCCGTTGGCTTTCCTGTGCCTCGGGGTCAACTGGAGTGTATATCCTGTGTTCATGGGTTTCTCAGCTCCTACCCGGATTCCCCAGATGTGGGCCTGTCCCTCAGTTGTGGTGAAGTCCCATGCTGGGCGCTCTTCGGGTGCGGCTATATTAGCCCAGGCAGCAGGGTTGAAGACTCCCGCTGGTGCGTGTTCTTCCAGGTACTGCCATGCATCTTTCATTATTCTCCTCCTTTCCTCTGTGTTAAACAGGGTGAGGAGTAACTGTTGGCAGTCTTCCCAGGTTTGCCAATGAGTCTGGAAGAGGGATTCTATGAGGTCTACCGTGGCCTGTGGTTTCTCAGAGTAGGATGGGGTGTTATGTACACGTGAGACTTGTCACTGGTTCTCCTGTTACAACTCACCATCATTGGGACATCCAATGTCCCTTCTGAAGGCCACCTGACATCAAAGGTGGGCCATTCCAATTCACATAGGGTTCTCAACTTGCCGGGGTTCATCCTGACTCCATAGTCTCTCGAAAACCCTTTTCCCTGAACTTTGGGGCTGGTGAGTAGTGTGGAGTCTCCAGGTGAAGTTGAGAGATTTGTTCGAGATCTGTACAATGTCTGCCACAAATGCAGGTCCATTGTCACTATGGATTTTTAATGGCAGGCCGAAACAGGGCACCATCTCCTGCAAGAGGACTTTAGCTACTTCCCAGCTTTGCTCCGTCCTGCTCGGGAGGGCTTTGACCCACCCAGAGTATGTGCATACTATTACTAGGAGATATTTGAACCCCCTGCTCGGCTGCACATCTGTGAAGTCTACCTCTAGATCTTCGAAGGGGGTTGCTCCCATCCTCTGGACACCCGGCAGGGACTGTGGTGCAGACCGAGCATTGTTTTTAGCACATGTTATATACATCGTTCACTCATTGCTCAGCATAGTACCGGCAGCTGACTGATGTAGTAGTGCTTCTTGAGAAGGGCCTCTAATGCAGTTTTTCCCAGATGAGTGAGTGGGTGGTGTTCCTTGACTAGTTGCCCTCCAGTTGCTGTTGGAACAAAGATGTACCCATCTGGCATCACCCACCAACCCTTTTCAGTCAGGGTGGCTCCCTCAGCCATGGCCCATTCCTTTTCCTTTTTAGTGTAACTGGGAGGAGGGACTTCTTCCGGGAGTGTCAGAGACATGGTGAGGGAAGGGGCTCTGTCTGTGTCCTCACTGGCTGCAGTCTTGGCTGCCTTATCTGCCAGACAATTTCCCCACACTATGGGGTCAACTCCTTTCTGGTGTCCCTTACAGTGCAGGATTGCTACTTCCTTTGGAAACCAGATGGCTTCAAGGAGACTCAGTATCTCCTCCTTGTTCTTGATAGATTTTCCTGCTGCGGCTAGGAGGCCCCTTTCCTTGTAGATGGCTCCATGTATACGTACAGTAGCAAAGGCGTACCGGGAGTCAGTATAGATGTTGACTCGCTTGCCCTCACTGAGGGTGAGGGGTCGGACTAAGGCATATAATTCAGCCCGTTGAGCTGACCATCCAGCTGGTAATGCCTTAGCTTCTAGGACTTCAGTGGTTGTGGTTACTGCATAACCCTCTTTCCAGGCACCCTCTTGTAGGTAACTGCTGTCATTGCTGAACAGCGTGAGCTCTGGATTCTTTATGGTTTGATCCCGCAGATCTGGATGGCTCGTGTAGATTTCATCAGTCACCTCGGAGCAGTCATGGTCTGATTCCCCCTCTTCTGTGGGGAGAAAGGTTGCTGGTTTAATGTCCTTACTGTTTCAAGGGTGACCTGCAGGTTTTTGCAGAGGCGCCCTTGGTATTGCGCTAGCCGAGAGTGGGGAAGAAAACGGTGTCCCTATGTGTTCAGGAGGAACACAGCTGCATGAGGGACCTTGACATTAAGTTCTTGCCCCAGGGTAGGTTTGTCTGCCTCCTTGATGAGTAGGATTGTGACTGCCAGCGCCCTGAGGCACAGTGGCCATCTGGCTGCCACGGGACCCAGCTTCTTTGACAGGTAAGCCACTGGCCGTTGCCAGAATCCAACAGTCTGGGTGAGTACCCCGAGTGCTATTTTTTCCTTTTCAGTCCAGGCAGGGGGTTCTCGATCTGGTCTTCCTAAGAGATCATAAAGGGGTCTTGCTATTGCCGAGAACCCAGGGATACAGATGCGGCAGAATCCTGCGTGTGGATTCCGGTAAGGAAAAGGGTCATCATCTCCCTGCCACAGCCCGCCCCAGACAAAAAGGGGGCCTACGAGAATTCCTGGGGGCCCCCAGGAATTCTCCCCCAGGGAGATGATGACCCCTTTCCTCTCCAGCCCTAGTTCTCTCTTCCCTTGGGCGAGGAGGAAACCAAGGTATCGGACCTGTTGTTGGCAGATTTGTGCCTTCTTCCATGAGGCTCGGTATCCCGAGTCTGACAGGTTTTGTTTCTTTTCTGAGCCACTTAGGTGCCCCTGGGGGTTGATTTTTAAACACACAGCTTCTGGGATAACACACAGCTTCTGGGATATTCCCCCCATCCCGGGGGTTGCTTTTTCAAACACACAGCTTCTGGGATAGTACCCCCATCCCACCCATTTTGATTCAGTGGGTTTGCATAGGAGGGATAGTATTACACCCAGTGCTCATCACAACACGTGCCCTCCCTAATACCCATCACCTGGCTACCCCATCCCCCAAATAGTTGCCTTTTTAACAAGGTCCTCCCAGGTGACTCTTACAAAGGAGGTTTGGAAACAATGTCTAAGCTTTGCTGTTCAGAGGGCAGCCAGTGGACCAGCAGGATCTGTATGGCCTGGAGTGTCTTGTTTAAATCGCCAATGTCAGCCCTACCCCAGACAGACAACTGGAATCTGCCTTTGAACAGTATAGTGGCTTGGCTTTTGATCTGACCTCTTCTCTGTTTTCATTTTAGTACGGTTCCTCCCCCTGACTTCCTTGCCCCAGTCCTCTCCAGAAGAGCCAGTGTCCCTTGCCTCTCCCTACCTAAAACCTGTCCCATCCCTGGGGGATGCTCGCCCCAACCTCCCACCACCCAGAGATGACAGGGAAAGGTGCTCTGTGAAGCTAAAGAACCTAAACAGCTGGAGATCTTGCCTTGTTAGAGAAGGCCAACTTGACTCCCAGGTCCTCCGACCTCTGCAAATTCCAGACCCCCAGGCCTGTCTCATGATCTCAATTTTGGTTGCTCCGCTTTGTCTCCATCAAGTGTTCTGAAGCATTTCACACACGACCGGGCTTAGGCAATTTGGCCAGACCTTCTTGAAATTTTTGATCATGGTCTCTAGAACCGTAGGTTTACTCTGTCCTGACCGCATGATGTCCCCGTGTGTGGTGGCACAGAGTCCTGAGGAAGGGGGGGCCGTGCCTCCTGAGATGAGGAGACCAATCAGATGCCCGTCCGGCCGTGTCCTGAAGAAGCTTAGGTGAGGCTTAGCCTTAGCGGTCTCAGCATTGTGACTTATAGTCAGAAACTATTCCGATGCCGCCATAGACCGTATGCCGTTCACCATGGAACCGCAGATGGGCCCACTCAGACTCCACAGGCTTCTGGGGACTTAAGGGTGCCCGCTGCGGAGTCACAGAATCAGTCCGCTTGAGTAAGCCAAGTCGGACAGTGCATTCATTCACACATTCACAATCCAGAAGTTATTACATTCCCTCCCTGGGAATCCCTACCTGTGAGACCTCTAAGAGGTCTCTGGGAGGTGATCAGGCTCCCCTTCCACCCCAGTGGGGGTGGGCCTGTCTGGGTCCTGGGGCCCCAGGCCTTACCGGAATCCGACATCGGGACCAGGTCCTCACCTGCCAAGTCTCCTCAAGTCCGGTGGGAACAGCGGAGCGGGGCCAGCCCGAGGCGACCGGGGTCGGAGATTGCTGAAAATGAGCCAGGGCGCGCCTTCTCTGTTACAATCCCTCGTTCTGTCACCACCCTGCCGTTGCCCCCAAACCGGGGGCAACAATGGGCCAGCGCGGTTGTGTTTCCTGGTCAGGGAACCAAATGTTAGGGAACCTGGACTAGATGGCCCGATGGAAGAACCAAGCAGCGCTCGGAGATCTTGGAGGATAAGAGGTTTATTTAACGCCAGCAGGCTCAGAGGAGTCTCCAAAGGTCTGAGCCCCAAGCACAAACAAAGGGGGTAATTTATACACTTCTACTTCTGCATACTTGGCACTTTTGGCACATGCGCGAAGCAGGGCAGGGAGAAGAACCCAATCGGTGTGAGTGGGAAGCAGAGTGGGGACAAGAACCCAGAAGAGTCCCGGGGCAAGGACTGGGACTCTCCCACCGGCTCGGTTGGCCATCTTAGAACACAGATTTTCCTTATCAGGACAAGAGCAGTGAACCAGAGGATTCTCCACAAGGCCAGTAGGAACAGAGTAGGACCTCCGACCCACCCAGTGGCAAGAAGTGTCACCCATGCAAGCATTCCAAGTGCTAGTTACACAGGGCACTGGGGCCCGCCATCCAGAATCAATCACATGGGAGCCACGGAATCAACAGAAATACAAGGCACCCAGGCCCCATGTCATTCAGGATCCTCATCCTTGCAAGGGATGGATCTTAACCCAAACTGACTCAAGCGCACACATTGGTCCATGTAACAAAAAGCACAGATTCTGGAAAGCATGGCTGGGCCCAGATGCTCAAATGAGGGCATCATTTCTTTGTGTTTCCAACTAATGGTTCTGTTCTCTCTAATCTTAGATTGTGCACCACCCCCATGTCCGATGTGGTAGCAAAAGCTCCCCCCAGCAGTTTGAAGCTTGGGTTTCACAACCTTAGTGAGGCCAACAGAGAATGCCTCTTTTCCAATAGTTAAGCCAAAGTTCTGGGATTGGGGTGATTAGCTTGGTTTGGGTCATGAGTCCATTCCTAAGCCAATTTCCATACAGAGGGCAACAAGAATGGAGAGATGTTAAGTCTGCAAAGGAAACTCCTTGTAGCTTTTCTGAATTTTCTGGGACTGCCTAAAATCCAAAACCCAAAGGCAGAGAAACAGGAAAAGAAAAAGCAGTGAGATTAGCCAGTTTCCTGCAACATTGTTAATGAAGGCCACAATAGCACTGTTTGATACGAAATGGAATTTGGCACCGGAAAAAATTCAGTTAGCAAATAACAGGGATCACTCATGTCCTGCTAAGTGCCAGGCATTGTTCTAAGGACTTTACATACTTTAAAAATTCTTCTTTACTCCTAAATACTTCAGTGAGCATTTCCTAAAAACAAGGACATCCTCTCACGTAAGCAAAGCACAATTTCCAAAATTAAAAATTTAACAAAGTTATAACACTGTTACCTAATCTCCGGAACTGAATCAGATTTAGCACTACGACTGGTAAAAACAACCTGGGATCCCACATTGCATTACATGTCACGTCTCTCTCTTCTCTTTTAATCTGGAATGTTCCTGGATCTTTGTCTGTCTTTCATGACCCTTGCCTTTTTTATTAAGATTTTATTTATTTATTCGAGAGTGAGCGAAGAGAGAGAGCACACATGAGCGGGGGGGGAGGGGCAGAGGGAGAAGCAGACTCTGCACTGAGCAGGGAGCCTCGATGCGAGGCTCGATCCCAGGACCCGGAGATCATGACCTGGGCTGAAGTCAGACTCTTACCCGACTGAGCCACCCAGTTGCCCTGACACACACCTTCTTGAAGAGTACAGGGAAGTTAATGCCGAGATGTCAAGAAGGTAAGTAACCTCATTAAGAGGAGAAAAAAAGTAGTGAACATTGAGATTTGAATCCAGGTGATGAGGCTCCATGGTTTATACTCCTAACCACTAATTTGTGCTGCCTCTCAAAAGGGCTGCTATCAGGCCATCTTTTCTCTGAACTAGAATGGGTTGAGATGACACCATTTTCAGTACGTGAGAAAGAAGTCCCCTGCTTACATGCCAGGCATGTGCGTTGCGTGCATTATCCTACTTAACCCTCACAATAACCCTTTGATGTTGTCCTGCCATCACATCTACTCCAGGGCTAATGCCCAGGCTACATAAACACAGAGGAGAGGACTGGAGTCCAGCTCAGGCCTGACTGACCTCACAACCTAAATACCTAAGCACTGTGTGCTCTTGGCTTCTGCCACACATTCTCTGCTGCTTTGCATCCAGGAAGAGGACAGCTCTTTGGTTTTCATAATCACTGGTTTACATCGTCCTAGGAGTTTCTTAATGCTGGCCTTTGGCCTTCACAATATATTGAAATCAACTGATCTTCTCTTGCAGAGGAACCTACGTAGGCCCGGCTGGGGAACCTGCCTGGTGAGGAAGGTTACAGAAACCGTCTGGGGCTGGAAGAGCCACTGGTGTCCCAGAAAGAGCACTGGGCGTCCAACTTGCCATCAAGACAAAGAGGAAAACTGGAAACCGCAGACACAAGGTCAAGTCAACATGAGCAAGAGTCAGGCAGAAAACAGAGTGGAGGAAGGCCCAAGAGCAGGGTAGAACAAAGAGGCCCAAGAACACCGCCACCACGGGCTGAAGAGCTGCAGCCCACTGTGACCTCTTGCTAATCGGTTTCCTAGGTGTCTGTCCAACTAGAAGGTACAGGGTAGAAGCATAAGAATTCCACCAAAAGTGATCATAGAAAACAGAGTCATAGAAAAGAGAACCACCCACCCCCTACGTAAAGTAAAAGAGCCTGTCTACTGATTCTCCCTTAAACTATACATTGTCCTACAATAGCTTGCATTCATTTTCCTGGAGAGCACACTTGTCCCACAAGAAGAGAATGGCTCAAGGGGCCCCATCCAAACTCCTTGCCTCTTATGTTCACAGCATCCACATCTCATCTCTTCAACTGGATTCATCAGAAACATTTGCTTCTGCAAATAAAGACTGAGGTCATGACTGAGCAGAGAAAACGCTGGATCTTTCTCAAACCGGTTCATGGAGTCCCAGACTTAGTCTTTTCCCCCCGCCACCCAGACTTCATCTTCTTCATTAGTGACCTTCTCAAAGAATATGATGTGGAGTTGACTTTTGAACATAGAGCATGAATGTTCTCATGTCGACAATCCATTTCTGGACACTCAAAATATTTTAAAAATAGTGTAAGTTACAAGTGTACTGTGCTTTAGAGGGTGTGATAAAATTTAAATCTAAACCTATATGAAGGTTTGGTTGTATATGAAGTTGGTGTATAAATATATTGGCATGTGGGTATTCTTCTAGCCTCAGAAGGATTGATTAGGCATTTCCATTAGTGAATACACTGAGAGCATTTAAAATAACATTTGATCTACAAGCAACTTCTTGGGGAAATGGGTATTGAATAAAAGAAGAAACACCTATAGCTGCAAGAAAAATATTTAATGATTTGCTTACTATCATCACTGATTTCCTTAAAGTCCTTAAAAATCATGTTTAATATTAACCAACAAAATTATCATACAATGGCCACGAAATGAGCATTACTTCTTTTAAGACACATGCATGAGGAAATTTTTAATTTCCAAGTTAGTGACAGCACTGGCATTTTTAGAACTTCTACTCTTATGAAGTCACATGCTACTCCATGAGGATATTGATTATTTCTATCAGAAAGGAAAAGGTAAGACACTTGGAAGACTAAGGTAAAGATGCAAACATGTTGCTGACTTTGCTGTATTTTACCCTTGATCTGTCCTTGAATTTGAATCCATAGAAAATGTAAGCTTGCAACCACCTGGGGCAGGAAAAGTTTTGTTGGTGCTTTGAGATGAAGTCTGAGGAGGTCCTACACCAGGAAGAAAATTCCAGCCTGAATGCTTGGGATTTCTCTTCATGTCGTTGCTTCTAACACCCCTTAGGAAAAGCAAATGGCCTCTCACTCACAAACCAGACCTGTGGGCAAACACTGGGGCTCTGTCACAGCTCGTGTGTCAGACAGCTGTGTGCAGGCAGTGAGAGAAAGGGGCTGGTGCAGGAACCACAAAGCAGGACACAGGCTGATGAACTCTAAAATAATTAGGCTTTTCTATTGGTATGCGTTAGACAAGTATGTAAGTAGTACATCGTGACCATGATTTTATGGATATTATTGCTTAAGATGAGACTAAGGAAGGAATTTTTTTTTTTTAAGATTTTATTTATTTATTTGACAGAGAGAGACACAGCGAGAGAGGGAACACAAGCAGGGGGAGTGGGAAAGGGAGAAGCAGGCCTCTCGCGGAGCAGGGAGCCCGATGCGGGGCTCGATCCCGGGACCCTGGGATCATGACTGGAGCCGAAGGCAGATGCTTAATGACTGAGCCACCCAGGCGCCCCAGGAAGGTATTTAAATGAAAGAACAGAGTTGTGTAATTAATTGTATCTTGGACTGCAGGTACATAGAAGTGGATTCACCATCACGCTTAGATCATAACCCATTCTCAGCACAGCTTATGGGTCAGTCAACCTCCTGAGAGCTTTTCTGTAATCTGAAACTGGCCCCTAAAAGCATGGAGGCCAGAGAGAGACCAAACAAAGAGGCAAGCCACTGCAGGTTGGGAGGTGGCAGCTTTAATAAGCAAGGGAACTTAGAGAGGAGGCTTGTCTTGGGCACCAGCATGGTGAGTGGATCCCCACACCATCCACCGCATCTTAAAAGTTTAGATAGAGGCCTTAACTAGGGTCAGTCATATACACCATGCAGGTGTTCTTAACACGGCATCACCATCTCCAGGATCTGTCCTTGGAACAGCTTCTGGGAATGGGAAAGACAGGGGCAGGGGTGAAGAGCCTCCAAGTGCCCAGGTCCAGCTCTCAGGGCAACTAACGGTCCCATCTTTTCCATGACCTTCCCCAACACTGGTTTATATGTGGTCCACTCTAGTCAATTTTGGGAGGGGGGATTTTTTTTTTTATTGTTTTTGGGTTTTGTTGTGTTTTTGCCATTCAGTGGTTTCCAGTTTATACACAATCTTGCACAACCATCACCGAAATCACTTTTAGAACGTCTTCATGACCCTCAAGGATCCCTGTACCCATTAGCAGATACTCTCTCCTGCCTCCCCAACATCCCCAGCCCTAGGCAACCACTAATCCACTTTCTGTCTCTACAGCTGTGCCTACTCAGGAGGTCCCCTCTAAGTGCAATCATACAATATGTGACGTTTTGTGACCAAACTCTTTTACTTAACATAATGTTTTCAAGACTCATCTGTGTTGTAGCATGTACCAGGACTTCATTTCTTCCTGTCACTGAACCACATTCCATCTTACAGATCGACCCCATTCCATGCGGCCATTCATCAGGTGATCGCCATCTGCGTTGTTTCCACTGTTGACTATTATGAATAATGTTGCTGTGAACATTCATGGCCAAGTTAGTGTGTGGACTCATGTTCTCCTTACTCAGGGGTATACCCGGAGGAGTGGAATTGCAGGGTTATTTGGTAGTTCCTTGTTGCATCTTTTGAGGGGCCACAAACTTTTCCACAGCAACTGTGCTCTTTTGCATGCCCGCCAGTGGGACACGAGGCTTCTCATTTCTCCACATCCTCACCGACACTTATTGGTCAGGTTGACACAGAATTGACCGTCACAGTGTCTTTGCAGTAAACATGGAGGGGTGTTGGCGGGGCCTGCCTTCTACACTGAGGGACAGACAGAACAGCGTCCGTGGGACAACGATGGAGTTTTTGAGTCATCTTCAGGTCCGGACTCACTTCCTAGAGGTTCTGCTCAAATGAGGTAGTCGAGGCAACACATTAAGGTATTCCTCAAAAACCTTCAGTATCTGAGATGCCTGGGTGGTTCAGTCAGTTAAGCAGCTGCCACTTGGTTTTGGCTCAGGTCATGGTCCCATGGGTGGTGAGACTGACCCCAAGCTGGGCTCCATGCTCAGCAGGGAGTCGGCTTGAAGAGTAGCTCCCTCTGCCCCTCCCCCCATTCACAGTCTCTCTCCTCTCTCTCTCTCTCTCTCAAATAAATAAATAAATCTTAAAAAAAAAACCTTTCAATATTCTGTGCTAGCAGCTTCCTCAAAAGCTGATTTTATCCCAATCTATGCCTAATCCACACCGTTAAACCCCCAAAATTAAGGCACAGATTGTCCAAATTCTTAGTTCCACCCCAACTCCAGTTATGAAATCAGTTGAATGCATGACTAAAACTAAGAGATAAAAATAATAATAAATGAATAAATAACACTAAGAGAAACAGCTTCTAGAAGCAGCTCTTGAAATGTTTCATTTTCTTAAGGGACAAGGTTATTACCTGATATAATTCAATGAAAGGTAAGACTACTATGGGAACCGTGTGTAATTTGCCTGAAAATCAAGAGATAGCATTAGGTTTCTCTACTGAAGATCCATGAGAAGAGTTTAGTGTTTGTCTTTTACATTCTAATTTAGAGTGGATTTCTAGTCCTCTAACTGGATGTACCAACCCTTGGATCACAGTTAGGCCCTTTGCTCTGGGCCTGCTCTCCAGGTACCTGTGTCAGCAAGAGACCCCTAGGCAGGTAAGAGCAGTGACACTTGTGAAGGAGAATAATTTACCAGAAAGCCTTCTATGGGAAATGAAATCAGTGTCTTGAAGAGGTGTCTTCACGTCCATGTTCACTGTGACGTTATTCACGTAGTCAGGCTATGGAAACAACCTAGGTGTCTGTTGATGGATGAATGGATAAAGAAGATGGAATATTATTCAGCTATAACAAAAGAAGGACATCCTGCTATTTGTGACAACAGAGACCGACCTGGAAGACATCATTATTTTTTAAGATTTTATTTTATTTATTTGAGAGAGAGAGAGCACAAGAGGGGGCAGGGTGAGAGGGAGAAGCAGACTCCCCGCTGAGCAGGGAGCCCGATGCGGAACTCGATCCCGGGACTCTGGGATCATGATCTGAGCCGAAGGCAGTTACCTAACCAACGGAGCCACCCAGGCGCCCCCGGAAGACGTCATATTAAATGAAATAAGCCAGACAGAGAAAGACAAATGTATGATCCCACTCATAGGTAGATTCTTTAAAAAAAAAAAAAAAAAGATTGAATGTACAGAAACACAGGATAGAATGGTTGCTTGGTTGCCAGGGACTGGGGGATGGCAGAAGTGAGGAGGTGCTGGTCAAAGGGCACAAACTTTCAGTTATAAGATGATTATGTTCTGAGGCTGTAATGTACAGTGTGGTAATTATGGTTAACAATACTGGATTGTATACCTGAAGTTTGCTAAAAGAGTAGATCGTAAGTGTTCTCACCACAAAGGAAAAGGTAACTGTATGAGGTGATGAGTCTGTGAATTAACTTGATTGTGGCAATCATTTCACAATGTACTTGTGTATCAAGTCATCGCATTGTATACTTTAAATAGATACAGTTTTATTTGTCAAATTTACTTCAATAAAGCTGGAAAGGGAAGGAAAAGAAAATCCCCTTTGGGCCTTCCAGATGTGAATTACACATGGTCCAGAGTAGAAGCTTCTCAGAAAGCAGATGAGAGGTTTCATGGGGATTTGGGATGGGGTGAGGCATGGATTACCAAGGGTACCATGAAAATTCTGGAGTTATTTGATTGAGGTGACAGTTCCCCTGACTTATGCTAAAACTCATCAAATTTAAACATGCACATTTAAATATTTATGGTTCATACTACATCACTTATACCTCAATAAACGTACAAGGTTTCTGAGGGGAAAAACAAATGTAAAAATCTCACAGACCTCTTTTCAAACAAGATGGGCTATCTGCGCTTGAGGCACTGCCCCAATCTTGACTTGCTGTCAAAGCCTGCTTGAAGTGAGTGATATCTGAGGACAGCCAAGAAGGGACTACTAACCATCGATTTGCTCATGTTCTGATCAGCAAATTAAAACATCTGGAACACATAAGCCTAGTGCCTCATCAAAATGTCCTCAGTTAGCCATAATTTCTCACAATGTTCTCAATTATTTTTCAATCAGGGTCTAATATAAAAAATGGCCATGTGAAATCCATGTAAATATTCTTTCTTGCAAAAAAGAAAATGAAACAAGGAAAGAAGAAGGCAATCTGTGGTAGAGAGCGTAATGGTTCCCCAGAGATGTCCACATCCTAAGCCCTGGAACCTGTGAATATAATAGGTCACATGGCAAAAGAACTAAGGTTGCAAGTGGCTTTAAGATTATTAATCATCTGACCTCAAAACAGGGAGATCGTTTTGATTATCCAATAATCCCATTACCAATGGGTAAACCAATGTAATCCCAAGGGCCCTTAAAAGTGGAGGAGGGAGACAGAGGGTGATGTGAGCCAAAGAGAAAGGCATAGAATGATGCAATGCTCTTAGCTGTGAAGACAGGAGCAGTGGCCACAAGCCAAGGAGCGTAGGCACCCTCTCAACCTGGTGGCTCTTCCCTGGAGCTGCCAGAGGGAACACAACCCACCAACACCTGGACTTGGGCACAGTAAGACCCATTTCAGACCTCTGACCTCCAGAACTGGAAGATACTAAATTTGTGTTTTCAGCCACTAAATGTGTGGTAACTTACTACAACAGCCATAGAAAACTACTATAAATGCCTTCGGGTGAGGTAAAATAGCACTGGCTTCATTTATGCCCATTCCCTTAACAATTTTTTTTTTAAGATTTTATTTATTTTTTGACAGAGAGACAGCGAGAGAGGGAACACAAGCAGGGGGAGTGGGAGAGGGAGAAGCAGGCTTCCCGCCTTAACAAATATTGAGAAGTTTCCATGGGCAAAGAATTTTGTTGGGAACAGGGTACACACACATGAAATGAAATTTGTGCCCGGTGCCCTTGAATGTGTAAGAGCCAACGGGCAGATACTGACTGGAAAAAGAGCAATGAGAGGTGGGACCCAGAATGGGACGAAGAATCAGGGATGCTCAGTCCTCTTTGGCCAAGAAGACTGCAGGCCCCGCCCTTCTCCTCCATCTACAAGGTGCCATATTTGGCGGCCCAGACTTGGGTGAGGGTTTGGTTCCTCTCTTCCCTGCTAGCTCAGTGAAATGGAAGCTACTTCTCTCACGCGCATGTGGGGCGAGGTTTCAAACCCCGTCCTGCGGTTATAAATGTGCAGAGCATTAGCGAGCCTCAGCCAAAGCTATAAACTTCAACCGGCCACAAGAGTGTGCACGTGGGATGACTGCAATTTTTTCCTGCCAAACCAGAATTAGCCGGTATAGGAATGAACGAGCGTGGAGATTTGAAATTGCACCAATTGGAAGAAAGCCCAGGTTAGGTTCGGGCACCTCCAAACGTACCCTTTTTAAAGCCACACGGACTGAGGCCTGGAGCTCGAAGCTCCACGAAACGCTCACCTGGCCTGGCAGCGAGCGGCGGAGAGGAGCCCGGGCGCCGCGCACCGAGCGCACAGAGGCGGCAGGAGAGCCGAGCCGCAGCCACCGGCATCTCCATCCAGGATGCTGGGCGACATTGCAACAGCTCTCTACGCCCAGCCGCTCAGGGGGCTCCGAGGCAAGCAGCAAGTTCGGGGATCGGGGCCCGGAGCCGAGTGAGGCCGAAGCCCCGCGCAGCGCGCGAGCGGTGAGTCTCCCGAGGCCCTGCGGCCCCGGAGGCACCCTGGACCGCGGGTGGCCGCTGCTCTCCGGGGACCTCGGCGAGGCGCGGCGCAGGCCGGAGGCAGGGCCGGGAAGGCTGCCGGGCGGTGGCGGGCAGGGCCGCCCCGAGGCGCGGGGGTCGCCAGCTGCGGGCGAGGCCACCGCGGGGCGGGCGGGGAACCTCGGGCCAGGGCGGAGCGTGGGGACGCGCGCCTCGCTCCCCCGGCGGCACCCCGGCCGGGCCGCGCTCCCGCCTCCGCGAGTCCAGTTTGAAACTCGAACCACGCAGTGGCGGAGCGGAGAGGGGGAGACCAGGGGCTGCGGTTAGGGGACGTTCGGGGGTGCGGAAGCCTCCCCGCGCAGGCGGCCGGGACTGCGCTCGGCCCGCTTCCCCGCGGAGCTGGCGGGTTTCGAGTCCGCCGGAGACGCGGGTGCGCGGGATGGGGCTCTCGGGGTGCCGGGGAAGCGGGCAGAACGCGGAGCCCGGCAGTGGGGCGCGCGCAAGCCCAGGGCATGCAGGTGCTGGTTCCCCCGCACCTCCCGGGGGGAGGAAAGGGAAACTAACGGGGGCGAGGGACGCGGGGCGGCCATTACCCGGCCAGAGGCCGCCAAGGCCATTGGCGAGGTTTTAAAGAAACTGAATTCTGCTTACCAATTAAGTCGTTTTCTTTCCGCGGGAAAGTTGATTCAGGCTAATTAGCAAGGATGAGTGAGGATTATTATTGAGAATTAGAAAGATTCCTTTTCGCCTTGTCTGGCGTGTGTGTGTGTGTGTGTGTGTGTGTGTGGAGAGAGAGAGAGAGAGAGAGAGAGAGAGAGAGAGAGAGATGGGGGGAGGGTGGATAAAGTAGGCTTTGGAATCCCTCAGGCCTGGCTCCACTCCCTGCTAGTTTGACCTCCAAGCTTCACTGTCCTCATTCGACAATAGCCTCAGCTTCCTCGTCTGTGAAATGGGACATTAATGCCAACTGGACAGGATAGGTGTGGAGAAGCCACTCATCACAGCCCCGGACCCATAGAAGGCATTTGTATGTTTAGTTCTCCCCGGTACAGCGTGAACCCAGGGGAAGTTTCCGATTCCCCTGCGCTGGCCTCTCCGCACTCCCTAAGCTCCCCAACCATCGCGGCTCTAACCTCTTCAGCCTGTTGGGCTCAAGTGCGCCCCCTAAGGCCCAAGATTGCCTTGCACACCAGGTCTAGAGGGCGAAAAGAACCCACGGCCCAGTTGGAGGCGGACGCACCACTCCCCTGCGTCTTACGAAGAACCAGTGACCTTCCTACTCTGTCCACCTTTCGGGAAGGTTGTAATTTTAGTTTTAACCGGGCGCTTTCCCCTTTGCTTGTCATTTATAAAGAACTCACCGCATGCCGACATAATCATAGTAGCCAAATTAAAAGTGAATGACTTGTTTATAAAACTTACTCTGGGAACAGAGCTGTGGAATATTAATTTAGTTTTAATCTCTGATACACTCCAGCTGGCTCTAAATTATTTTCGCCTCAAACTGGTAGCACATAAATATGTGGCTGGCCTCCACCTCATAGCTTTCAGGGATTGCTTCATTTCCCTCCATTTATGGTGGTTCTTCCACCATTTATGAACCCACATTTGGGGCAAATGGAAGGTTGACTGTTGGTCCCATAAACTTCCCATCGTTTTCCTTCACCTTCTTCTGTGCAAGGCCCTAATGTTATACGCTGAGCTTCCAGCAGGCCAGCCTCGAATGGGTTCCCTCTTACATATTGATCTTAGAGGAAGCCCCACACTCAGTGCCTCCATCTACCCTCAGTGTACCCCATGCGTGTTAATATTCTACATTTGTGTCAGGATGTGGAGAAAGTGAGAAAGCTTGAAGGCCATGTGGTGGAGAAAGACAGCCTGGGGACAGGATGGTCCGGAACCGTCACTGGTTCACTTGCGTGCTCGCTCTCTCTCTCTCTCTGCTCATGCTGTGTAGACTAGGATTTTAATACTCAAATGGTTATTTTGTATCTTATGGTTATGTAAATGCTAAAAGCAAACTTGGGGGTGGAGGGGTAGAAATTCATTTTTCTGTTGTCTTTTGTTTGTTTTAGTTGACCTGATTGGGCAGTAAGTTAACTGTGATTAGTCAAAACGTGAATTGCTTATAGAGAGATTCAGGTTTGAAATGCAGATGGCTCTATTAACAGGTGTGTCTTCAGGGACCTCCTGAGGACGCGACAGAACTTCGTTTTAGCCACCCTCACCCTCCACCAGTCTCTGCATTGGCTACTGTACGTTACGCGCACCCTTGCGCCTCTTGGATAAAGCTTGGCAATTAAATGCTATTTGATGTCATTTACTTATGAACAAATAAAATGCAAATGTTGAGAGCAGTTCAGTGACACCTGCATCTCTTAACCCATAAAATAAATAATTCAGTGAGAATATCAAGTTCTTAACATTGCTTAGGAAAATGCTTACTATTTCAATCGTGAGTTGAAAAACTGTAACTTTTTTGATATTATTATTTCACTTTTCCCTTGATGTAAGTGGGCTTTAGGAAAACGCCAAGTTGTGTTGTGTTGTCTTACTAAACGGAGCTGAGCATTATCCCACAGATTTAATATGCATGATGTTATTACATCAAGTGCCTTCCTTAATGCCCATCACCCAATTGCACTAGGTATTATATGCAACTGATGAATCACTAAATTCAATCTCTGAAACTAATAAAAAAATTTTTAATTTAAAATAATAAAAATAAAATAAAATGATGTTATTATTACTCATATAGGCCAGTCACTCCCCTGATTCTTCGCTTTCTGGCTTCTTGGAATTCTGCATACAAGAAGCAGAGACAGAAGGAAGACAGCCACTGAACACCCTTTCTGATCTCCCTGTAGGTTTATCCTCTGGGCCTTCTGCCAGTGCGGCTCTTTTCTGGGCTTCGAGCTCTGGAAATCAAGGGCTGCCCCATCACTTCCTGTCCCCAGGCAGGCTGTCCTCTTGCTGGGGAAGAGCAAGGTAGTGGCAGGCTAGACTTACTCTGGGAAGTGGCTCTTGAATCATCTTCCTTCTTTTTTACAAGTCAGCCACTCATCTACCAGAGGCAAAAAGCTGATCCAGATGATGTTTAAAAGATAGAGGGAGTTTTATTTTGTTATTATAAAGTTAATACGTATTTGTTACGATTTTTTTTATGAACAAGGTAGATTAAAAGGAGGAAAACTACTTTAAGACCATCATCCAAAGAATAATCTCCCTTACAATTTTTGTTTCACTTCCATCTTGGAGTGAATGGATACCTATTTTTAACAAAAACAATGAAGGGATGATTGCACACATCTAATTTTGTAGCACTCCCGTGCATAATTCACACCTTCTTTCCATGTGTTCAAACAACCTTGTACAATGATTGACTGATTGAACACATACTCTACTGTTGGAGATTAGAGATGTTTACAGGGGTGGAGGGTTCTCACCGTGTCAAGGTTTCACTACTATATTTAGCTGAATCTTGAAGGAAGAGCAGGAGGGTAGAAGGAGAGAAGTGTGTTCCCAAAAAAAGAAGAAGAGAAGGTCATGCCCCAAAGCTTAAGACACTGTGCCAAGGTCAAGGAGCTGTAAGTGCTTTAGCAGGGCTGGAGCACAGGGACCAGGGGGGCAGATAATCTGTGGAGAACCTGGCAGTGGCAAAGGGGAGTTTGGGCTTGATCCTAAAGATATCTTGACAGTGTGGATAAATCACATGGCAAGATAGCATTTTATCCCTCCCAAATGACTGCAGAACAGGGAGGTGGAAAAGGACCCAGGCAGAGAGGAGCGACATGGGCGGGAGGTGTAGTGGTTGAGAACTGGATGGCTCTTTAGGACATAAAACCATTTAAAAGATAAAAATAATAACAAGGACAAGGTATGAGAGAAGGGGAAAGTCAGGATGAGCCCCAGGACAGATCCATTAAACTGCTCTTCCACTGGCATCCTTGGGTTCCAGGTGCCCATTTCTTCCCAACAAATTCGTAGCCAGAACCAATGGCACAGTCCAGGGATCAGCCAGCTTTTCCTATGAAGGGTCAGAGAGTAAGCATTTTAAGTTTCATGGACCACATAGCCTTTAAAAAAGGTAAAAACAATTCTTAGCTCGGGGGGGTACAGAAAGAGGCTGTGGGCACTGTGCAGTCCACCACAATCCGCTTCTCTGCCCATCCCCCAACCTGTCCACACCAAAACACTTCTGAGAAAAACCCCACCATTGGAGGGGTCCTCATGTATTTGGGATTATTTTTTAGACTTCCTTCCTCCATTGCAACAACATGATTTTCAGTAACAACCATGTAGTGGGTTCATAAAAATCAGTATTTTCTTGTTTTTTCTTCTGTTTTAAAATAATTAATTGAAAAAAGAACAGATTTCTATTTTGAAGACATTATTCCAATTGCATAAAACATTGCCTGTATTAACTGCACACTTCACTTTCCAAACAAAATGTTTTCACCTCACGGTCTTGCACTGTTTCGCTGTTTTACATTTTAAACAAAATAAAATCTCCAGGTAGGCATACAGAGTGACAGAAGGGAAGAAGTCAAGTTCTGGTTCTTCGTCTCTACAGTAACTGTGCTGTTCTTCCATCTCGAACGTCCCGCTGAAGGTGGGGACCTGTGACACCCTGGGGGCTGTGGACCAGATTGTGCCACAGAGACCTCCAATAATTCTCAACTCCTGGGAACTTACTCTCAAAGCACATGTGTGTTGCTGGGGCCTCATGGGTGTCGGGGTCAAGTGTAGAACTGGGAGTTCTCTGCAATAACTCCCACGGATAATACAGTGTTTATGAGAGGGTAAGTGATAGCACCACGCTGGTTTGAAGCTTACAGATAGAAATTAAAACATCATTGTCTGCAACTTAGAGCAGCAAAAGATTTTTTCAGAAGAAGAGTATTTTATCAGTGACGTTGTCTAGATTTGCTGGCACATAGTGATCATAATAAAAAGCAGACCAACTTGTAGTCGTTTGTTGCTTTAACGTTCTCTTCCGCTGATGATGCTCGGGCTCCCAGCGCTCTGTCCTTGGTGCTGCACTCCTGTGGCTCTGTGGTGCTGTCTTGCAGGGCTCAGCTCCACCTTCAGAACTGCCTGGCAATCATTTCCACTCGTTGTGGGCAACAGTCTCTTCCATTTTCCTGAATGTTGAGGGCCCTTCATAACCACCACCCTCTTCGTTCTCAGCCAGTGACCTCACTTCCTACTTCATCCAAGAATTAGACCATCGGGTGTAACTTCTCATCCCACTCCTTGGCATCATCATCTCCATGCACCTTCTGCTTTGCTCCTCCTGATCAAGACCAATCTTCCTGTCCCACCACCTCCAGGATTACTGTCTCTGTCTCTGTCTGTCCTTCTTTTACTCCTTATCCTCAGTTCTTATACGTGTACTTAATTCTCATCCTAAGAAATAAAAATGAAACCAGAGTCCTCGCCTGACCTGGCATCACCACCCCCCTCCAGCTCCATCCAGCCCCCAAGCCTCTTTTTTGTGGTCTTGTGTATCAGACCTGAGTATCACCATTATTAGAAAGCTCTAGCTCCCATTGTAAAAAAATAAATAAATAAATAAATTGGCCTTCTAGTTTACCAGTCTCTTGGGAGTTGGGTTCATATGAGTTGGTCTTCTGAGGCAAATCCACTCTGCTGTACTGAACAGCTCAATGCTTGGACCCACAAAATGAGGACCAGGTGCTCTGTAAAGAGCTCTACCAAGGCAAAGCTACCCCAAAAGACTGTTTAGAGCCAACTGTCTTCCCTCTGTGACATCTTTGTTGTCACCTGTCAGTATCCATCTCAATAACGGACACAAGGCATGGGCTTTGGAGTCAGGAATAGCTGGGTTTGATTCCTTAGGCTCCTGGGCAGCCATACTTCCCAGCCATGAGAACTTGGGAAAGGCACTTCTTTCTTTGAGTCTATTTCCATTTCTTTAAAATGTGAATAATAATACTCATATATAGGATGACTGTAGAGATGAAACAGGTTTCACAAAAGCACTTGGCAGTAAAAGAGTCAGGAGTGTTCCCAAATCTGCATGATGACAAGATGATTCTGAAGGCCAGTTTGGTTATGATGGGGAGGTAGAGCTGTCCAAAGAAGAGAAAGCTACTTTTGGTTTGACATTCAAGGAAATTATTTGTCACGTGTATTTCAGAAAATCTTGGAAAATGTATACAAGTCATGAAGATATTGGATATGATTTTGAAGATGACCCCAAAGATAAGAAGACACTTAAGCCCCACCCAAACATTGACAGTGGATGGGCTTGGATGGTGGTTCTTTCCTCCTTCTTTGTGCACATCCTCATCATGGGCTCCCAGATGGCCCTGGGAGTCCTCAACGTGGAATGGCTTGAGGAATTCCATCAGAGCCGCGGCCTGACTGCATGGGTCAGCTCCCTCAGCATGGGCATCACCTTGATTGTGGGTATGTTTGCATGTGACCTGTTGTAAAACTGAATTATTATAAGTTGACAATTCCCCTGCTCTAAGTAAGGTTTTATATTGTTGAAACAGATACTAGATATTAATGATGGTACTATTTTTTTTATCATGGTACAATATATGTAAGAGCAAATTTACCATTTTAACCATTTTTAGGTATACAGTTCATTGCCACTGAGTGCATTCATCTCCACCATCCAGAACCTTTTCATCATCCCAAACTGAAACTCTGCACCCATGAAATAACTCTCCGTTCCCACCTCCCCTTCGCCCCTGACCACTACCACTCTATCTTCAGTCTCTATGAAAGTACCTCATATAAATGCAATCATACAATATGTGTCCTTTTGTGTGGTATTACTATTTGAATATTATAAAAAATTTGGAGTGTCTTAAAAATTGATCATTTAAAAAAACTCTCTTTTGCCCCAAACTCTGTTTTCTTGACTGCTCTAATTCATTATACATCATTATCATTACAGATCTGTTTATTTAATATTTGTGAATATTTGTAAAAGATAAAAATATTAGAGAAAACACCACAAAAAGGCAAGTAACAATCTTATTTCAGAGTTCCAGTGATTTAATTTGAAATACTGATCATATGCTGTTGAAAAATCTATTAAACTGCTTTTAGAAAAGTTACTGATATAGCAGCAGGAAGGAATAATAATGTATTTTCTAGTTAAACCTAACCACACACCAATCTGTGAAAGTAGTTCTCATGCAGTTGGAAATGCCAAGCTAGAAAGTTATCATAAACATAACATGGTCTATGTTTTTCCTTTTGGGAACTAAACAATTTTTACTGTCAACTAATATTTAATAAGCATCTATTATACACCAGGTGTTTTCCCTCACATTATGTCTTGAAAGTAAAAGCCATACTTTTACATCGAATTTTTTTTACATTTATTTTTATTTATTATTTTAGAGAGAGCGCACGCACAAGCAGGGGGTGGGGGAGGGGCAGAGAGAATCTTAAGCAGGCTCCACGCCCAGCACAGAGCCCCACTCAGGGCTGGATCTCAGAACCCTGAAATCATGACCTGAGCCAAAACCAAGAGTCCAGCGCCTAACTGGCTGAGCCAAACAGGCACCCCTACATCAAATTTTTTTTAAATTTCAAGTATTCAGGAAATTACACTGGAAACATAAATTGCCTCAAATCTTTTTCCAGTTCTGTGAGAATTTGAGTATGACAGGCATCTGTACGTTTGATGGGAGTCTCCCTTTTCAATGATTTCCACATTGGCAGTTAACTCCTTGAATCCAATTCCAAGATTTGTTGATCTTGGCTGGCATTCAGTCAATGTTATTTTGGATAATACAAACAACATTCATAATGGTGGTGGCACTAATGATCGAAAATAAGGACAAAGTATTATTTCTCAAGATGTGTGTGGAGTATGTGTGTTTATCAAAGGGAATTAATAGTAATCGGTTTTAAAATTACATAAGGACACCACTGCGTGTGTGAGGGAACTGCTGGTAAATCATCTTCCCTGCAACATTTAACAACTGACTCCTTCAACCCTACATTGGCCTTGTTAAAACTAGGATATCATAGTTAAAACACAGGAAGGTTTACTTCAGCGTAGGCAATGTGCTAGTTTTATGGTGGATGTGATTCAACCTTCTCAATAAGTCAGTGAAGGAAAACTGTGCTTCTAGAATACCTAACATCCAGGGTTTTTACCTTTTTTTTAAAGATTGATTCATTTATTTGAGAGAATGAGCAAGAGAGAGCAGAGCACAAGTCAGGGGAGGGGCGGAGGGAGAGGGAGGAGCCGACTCCAGGACTCTGTGAACACCACCCAAGCCGGAAGCCAGACGCTTAACCAACTGAATCACCCAGGCATCCGATTTTTACCTTTTTAAAAACAAATCTTTAAGGGGAGCCTGGCTGGTTCAGTCCATGGATCATGCAACTCTTGATCTTGGGGTTATGAGTTTAAGCCCCACATGGGGTATAGGGATTACTTACAAATAAAATCTTAAAAAAAAAATCTTTAAGGGGTAGAACGAAATACTTACAGATTCAATCTAGGAAGTATGTGTCTACCACAAAAAAGACTCAGCGAAAGGCCAGGATAGGAAATGTCCCATTACTTTCCAAATCATCCAGTGAGGTTGTCTTAGGTGTTATTTTGTGTCTCACAAGCTCTACAAAAATAAGCAGTGGGAAGCAGTCCTGAAATTATTGGCAATGATTTTTGAATATGACCCCCAAAATAAGAATACCTAACTCATAGCAATGGTGAAATGTGATTGTCCTCTTTAATTTATTTGTTTTTAAGATTTTATTTATTTTATTATTTGAGAGAGAGAGAATGAGAGACAGAGAGCACGAGAGGGAAGAGGGTCAGAGGGAGAAGCCGACTCCCTGCTGAGCAGGGAGCCCGATGTGGGACTCGATCCCGGGACTCCAGGATCATTTACTGAGCCGAAGGCAGTCGCTTAACCAACTGAGCCACCCAGGCGCCCGTGTCCTCTTTAATTTAGTTGGGAGGTAACTATACATTCAGAATTCTGTTTCAGAGTCCATGAATCCCAGACAGTGTCATTTCAGCTTGTAGGCTAACCTTTCAACAGGAAAGGCACCTGCTAGATAAATATCTTGTGTCTTGGGAATCATAACACAGCAAGGCTCATAGTTATATAAATAAAAGGTCTTTTATCTTATCGTGACCCTAAATTGCTGTTCATTATCTTAAGCTGCCTGATACAGGGCGGCTGCAGGTCTGTTGGGTGTTTTCCAAGCCAGAAGGCTGCAAGAACAGCTCTCCTTTATTTGCCACTTACCATATGCCATGTTATGTACACAGTCTCATTTAGATCCTGCAACAACACTAGCACCAGGGAGAACTCTGTCTGTCTGCGGAAGAGGATGCAATGCTCACAGAGTTTAAGTAACTTATTGGAGGTTGAACAGCCAATAAGCATGAGAGAGGCTTCCAAGCTGGTCCACTGGACTCAAAATTGTGTCTACTGTACCATACTGCCTGCCACTACCTCAGATGAGAACTGAAAATATGTGTGAAGTGAATAAATAGAAATTGTTCTCATTTTCCAATCATTGTGAGTCTATTTGGGTTTTCTCTTTTAAATTAAAAAAAAAAAAATCCGTGAATTACGTTACAGAGTGGAAAGCCATCCCTCTCTTGGGCAGTGGCTTGCATGTAGGAAACTCAATAATTTCATTCTTTGCTAGCATGGACTTTGCCAGTTACCTGCCAAAGGTCCCAATTTTTAACAAAACATAATCGCCTCAGTCGTATTTACGGCAGCCTTGGTGACAGCCCTCGGAAAAATTCTTGGTGGAAGCTACGTTAGGGGAATCTGCGGGCTGCAAAAGGTCACTGTCTTGCTAAGTAGAGTTAGAACAGTGGTTGACAATCCTGGGTACACATCAGATCCACCTGGGGAGCTTTTAAAAACCCTGTTGCTCATGCTGCACCTAGACCATCAAATCAAAATCTCTTGGGATGAGATCCGAGCATCAGGATTTTTTTTTTTTTAAGCTCCTAAGTGACTCCAGTGCTCAGCCAAGGCAGTGAGTCATTGATTTAGAGGCTCTGAACTCCTTATTGCAGTGAAGAGTTAGCCCAGGAGGCCAGGAGTTCAGCGAACCTTCTTTCATCCTTGACTGTGTGCCAAGGTCGCCTCAGATAGTTTCTCTCCTCACCTGAGCTTTTGTGAACCAATGAGATGCGGCAACCGGCAAGAAATTATTACTCCTTTATTATGTGGGAAATGGGCCAGAGTCAGATCCCTTCTGCAGAGGAGAAAGTGTGCGTCTCATCCCAGAACACTGAATTCCTCCACAAAAGTGGGAATCATATCGGCAGACAACTGTCCCTCCTTCACCTCCTTCACCCCTTGTCCTTAGACCATGTGGGGAGTTCGTTTCATTTTGGCGAAACGCGAACTTGGTGTCAGAGATGCCAGCTGAACATCAGCAATGATGAGAAAATGGAGCGGAATCAGAACGCTTGGGTCCGACTTCTTTATTTTGACCTATCCGTGTTTTGTGGCCATGGAGGGGTCACAGCATTTCCCCGGCTGGCTTTGCCCACCTGCGAGTCGTAAAGGACGGCAGCTCTACCACGTGAGAGATGATGAACTGAAAAGCCAGACACTGTTATCAACTTACCTTCCTATCAGTAAAGCAATTCATCCTTTCTCTTTGATATACAACGTCCCTCCAGACAGGAATATCTGCTTCTTCGTGGGAAATCCACCTCCCTCCTTTCTCCCCAATTGTTTCCTGAATGCGGTGTTTCCGAAATATACAGTATCACAGAAACACTTGCTTCTGGGCCCTTTTTGTTACATGGAAAACATGATCATGCTCCTGAACTGCGATCTGGTGACCTGTCATAGCTTAAAGGGCCAATTAACAGCGGACCGATGAGTCGTGCCTTTTTCTCTTTTTTTATCCACTCATCCGAGATTCGATTAGTGAAGTGACTATGGGTTTAGGAAAATAAAAATCTTTGCGGGGTGCCCGGGTGGCTCAGTTGGTTAAGTATCTGACTCTTTTTTTTTTTTTAAGATTTTATTTATTTATTTGAGAGAGAGAGAGAGAGAGCATGAGAGGGGGGAGGATCAGAGGGAGAAGCAGACTCCCCGCTGAGCAGGTAGTCCGATGTGGGACTCGATCCCGGGACTCCAGGATCATGACCTGAGCCGAAGGCAGTCGCTTAACCAACTGAGCCACCCAGGTGCCCAAGTATCTGACTCTTGATTTGGGCTCAGGTCATGATCTCAGGGTCCTGGGATTGAGCCCAGCCTCAGGCTCCAGGCTCAGCAGGGAGTCTGCTTGAGAGTCTCTCTCTCTCTCTCTGCCCCTCCCCGCACTCACACACATGCCCTCTCTCTATATCAAATAAATAAATCAATCTTTTTAAAAAAATATTTGTGGGACACCTAGGTGACTCAGTCAGTTAAGTGTCTGCCTTCAGCTCACGTCATGATCTCAGGGTCCTGGGATCGAGCCCCGCATCAGGCTCCCTGCTCGGCGGGGAGTCTGCTTCTCCCTCTCCCACTCCCCCCGCTTATGCTCTCTCTCTCTCTTTCTCTCTGACAAATAAATACATAAAATCTTTAAAATAAATAAATAAAAGAAAAATAAATAAATATTTGTGAAGAAATCAAAGACACATCTTCAACTTACGGTTTCAGAATTTCAGTTGCCCCCAATAATTCCCTCAGATGTTTATATCAATGTGTTTGGTTTGTGTATTATTTATATCATGTGCTTATTTTATAATATATAACAGTATATTTATGTAAAATATATTTACTATATTGTCTATTCTAAGAGGTTTATCTGCTGAGTTCTTTTCTGTAATGCACCAGGGTTAAATTAATAAATCATTAACTTCATAACTTTTAGGATTAGGCCCGCTCACATTCATTAGACAAGGAAGAAAGTTCATTAGCAAACTGTACATCCAAATATGTACATGAATATAGTTAGAACTTTAAAGGAAATTTTAATTTCAGTTTGAACTAAAAGGGGAAGCTCCTTAGAGTTTAACAGATTTTTAACCTGAAATAGTCTCACCAGAATATAGGGTTTCATAACTATGAAAAGTAACAATGATCAAAAATAAGATGATTTTTAAAATGTGCCATCTTACTGAATATTGACGACAGCCTCCTACTGTACTGCTAAATACAGATTGCTTTTTGCACAGGAAATCAGGAATCACAAGGCAAGCATTAAGCTTCTCTGACATCAGAAGTTACCACAGGGGTGCCTGGGTGGCTCAGCTGGTTCAGCATCCCGCTCTTGATCTCAGCTCAGGTCTTAATCTCAGGGTGGTCCCCGCATTGGGCTCCATGCTGGACATGGAGCCTACTAATAAAAATAAAGAATGAATGAATGAATGCATGCAAGAATAAATAAATAAATAAATAAATAAATAATCAGGAAGAAAACAAAGAGGTTTGACAAAAACCAGAGCGTCATAGGAAAGTTAAGTAACCAGGATGTATGTCATATGACACTATGTTGCTGTGAGCATGGCACCCGCTGCAGACCGGAGCGTATTCCTGAATCTCCACAGTGTCAATAAAATGCATAGCCTGGTGGGGCCGGCTTGGGACTGAGAGTTGGCAGGGGCTGAAGTACATAAGAAGTGATGAGAAGTTCTTTTCAACACGGTTCGCATGCAGGTGTCCTCATGAAAATAAGCTATCAGTTCTTTGGAAGCATGGCAGTCCTGAGAACCCCCTCCTTTACTCCCCTTAGGTCTGGAGTCAAAAACTCAAATAACAAGTAATGTAAATGAGCCGCAGCACAGCTCCAGCCCATCGTGGCTGTGTGGGAAGCTGCTGGATTCTGTGTTGCCATTGGATTTCTTGTGAATGCTCTTAATTTTTAAAAGCTGGCAACTGATTCAAAACATCTTTTAAAGATTTTATTTATTTATTTCAGAAAGAGGGAGAGAGAGCAGGAATGGTGGGGAGTGGCAGGCAGAGGGAGAGGGGGAAGCAGGCTCCCTGCTGAACAGGGCTCCATCCCAAGACCCCGGGATCATGACCTGAGCTGAAGGCAGACACCCAACCAACTGCGCCACCTTGGCCCCCCAAAACATCTTTTAAACTATGTTCTGGATAAACAAAATGCATCCACAGGCTGAGTAAGCCCGTAGACCACTAGTTTAGGACCTACCTGTGTTGTAGACAAGAGAACGAACTAACTCATTTGTCTATTTATTTCAGGTCTGCTTTTCTTGAAAACCTAGAACTTTGCGCTCTCCAGTGAAATTACTGAAACCCATTTTTGCATGCTAAAAGCTTTTTGCATATAAAGCATTGGGGGTTTGGGTTCATTTTATTTAATAGCCCTAGTAATGTTTTATTCTTTGTCTTCATGTGAGGATTTGCGAAGAAAGCATGAAAGTAAAACACCATCAGTCAATTCCCTTTTCAATGTCCCGTGACAGGACCTTTCATCGGCTTGTTTATTAACACCTGTGGGTGTCGCCGAACCGCAATAATCGGAGGGCTGGTGAACTCGCTCGGCTGGGTACTGAGCGCCTATGCCGCAAACGTGCATTATCTCTTTATTACCTTTGGAGTGACAGCTGGTAAGCATATTGATTTTTTTAATCTTAATTTTAAATATATTTGTTGGGCATCTTGACAATGAGTAATTGTGGAGAAAAGAAACCCATTAAAATATTTTGTCCTTTTTTTAAAAGATTTTCTTTTTGAGAGAGCGTGCGAGAGAGCACGAGCCGCGGGGGGCTGGGGGAGGGAGGTGCAGAGGGAGAGGGAGAAGCAGACTCCCTGCTGAACATGGAGCCCAGTGCTGCGGGCCCTGATCCCGGGAACCTGGGATCATGACCTGAGCTAAAGGCAGACGCTTAACCCATGGAGCCACCCAGGCGCCCCATAGTTTGTCCTTCTTTTCCTCCACCCCACACCACCATATACTCCAGGAAATACTTTTTAATATAAGATATTATATATGCCTTAAGTGTGGAAAAACAAACTAACAAGTGTACTTGGCCTTCCTATTAGAATTTAATTAAATTTTTTATGATCGGTTCCAAGTGCTAGTCTTCTCTCTTATGAAGAACAGGAAAAGGAAAGTAATAATACAGACATAGGTGAATAGATTGAATATTAAGAAAACTAAGAACATTCTCTCATTTAATAACTGCAGAATGGAGCATGAATCATAGAATAATAATTTTCTCCTTCAGCCCTATTCAAATGAATGTAATAGCAGCAAAATCCACACACACACACACACACACACACACACACACACACACATATATAGACTCTTAAGAAGCAAATCTAGAGCAGAGAATGTCACTCCCCCAGCGAGTAAGTAAAAATTGGCTACCAGGCAGCATGGTTTACATATCCAGTCTGCAAAATACATTCCCAGCTATAATTTCCTTTATCAACAGGAAGCAGAATTCACACAGATAAGTAGTTTCTTACTTGTACAATTGTATTGCAGTAAACCAGATCCAGCCTGACTTTCTTTTTGAGTACAGAGCTACCATCCTAATAAGTGACACATTGACAGAAGTGTTGATATAAGAAGTAAAAGAATTTGGAAATCTTGCCTTTTTTTTTTTCACTTATTATCTGTGTGGCTTTGGGCAAGTTACTTAACCTACTTATGCCTCAGTTTCCCTATCTGCAAAATGGGGTCATGAAGAATGCTTGGTTTAGAGGGTTGTTGAAATGATTAGGAGATCATCTGTATAAAGCACTTAGCACGATGCTTATCACAAAATAGAGTCCTTAGTGTTAGCTAATATATAATTGTTATATTAATGTAACATTCTTATTATGAGCTTAAGTGCATGCTTTATGATAGCAGGAGACTGTGAACACAAACACCTACTCTCCAAAAAGTTGGCAAGTTGGTTCTCTGTAATTTACATCGATCCACATCTACACATAAAGCACTTCTATGTCCTTTGAAGCATAGTTTGAAAACCATTGATCTGAAGGACTTGGTAACAATTCTTAAAGAATAACTTAAGATGTTTCCCCTGAGTGTTTTAGAAGCTTTCCCCCAAACACTCCAATGAAGAGAGCCAGCACTGGGGTTTTTATATTATAGGTGAGGAAATACTCCACTAAGCCTAGGGAGCCACACTGGGGTCCCCAGGCAGACATGTGGCACACCTGTGAACTGGATGTGGTGGTGGTTGATTATACAGACTGACTTGATCCTACAAACTGGGACTTGAGATTAATTCTCGTCATTTAGAGATCTCTGTGATTAGATTCTTTGTTTACATGAGCTTTATTTCTTGCAGTTAATTGCTTATTGACCTGCCATTAATATTGTTCCCATATTTTTTTAAAAAGATTTTATTTATTTATTTGTCAGAGAGAGAGAAAGAGAGCACAAGCAGGGGGGAGGGGCAGAGGGAGAGGGAGAAGCCGACTCCCCGCTGAGCAGGGAGCCCGATGCGGGCCTAGATCCCAGAACTCTGGGATCATAACCTGAGCTGAAGGCAGATGCTTAACTGACTGGGCCACCCAGGCGCCCCATTTTATTATTTCCATATTCATTCACTTATTTAACAAATATTTCTGGACCCAAGAAAGTAGGAGGAAGATCAGGGGGCTGCTGAAGGGAAATGTGTCTTGAGACACTTTATTGCTCCCACTTTTTATACAGGAAAAACCCAAAGAAAGTCTTGGAAAATAAATGTATCACATCCCCCACAAACATATATCTAACTATATGTAACTGGAAAATCCAGCTAAGTCAGTTAGCTTATAGAGGCAAAATCCTGGGCTGTCATCACGGAGGCATGTGGAAGCTGATTGCAATCTAGCCCTTATTTAACAGAAAAGAAAGATGGGAAAATCTAAAAAGCAAGCACTTGAGAGATACATTTCACTGTACAATGTACATTTGGAAAAAAACTTTATTGATATTCTTCTTCCTTCCAAAAAGCACTTGAGACAGATTTATTTGTATCTGTCTCTCTCTTTTTTTTTTTAAACACCTAGACAATTAAAACTGTGTGGGAGTATCCTCCTACGAGGCAGAAAAATAATGTCTGTTTGAGCAAACTTACTTAGCCAGGGGAGTCTGGACCAAATTTCTTCAGCCTTACCAGAGCTGCATTTTCTTAAGCCTGTCTCCTGAAGACACCTTTTCCCGCACCCACACGGACCCAGGATCACCGGATTTCCTCTACCCCTCTGGGCCTCTTTCCTCCACCTGGTTGGGAGGGTTGTAAACCCTCATCTGAACCGGCATGTGGTGAAGAATTATTCCAGGACCCTGTCCAGGGCTGGACATTAGCAGGGCCTTGACTGACCACTGGGCTCGAACCACATATCCCCAAGGCCTGTCCTACAAGCTCATGGAGTAATTGTGCCTATAACAGACAGCAAAGCCATGTGAGGAAGGAGGGGATGCTGTTAAGGGCATGGATAAGTGTAACAGGGAAATAGATACTTGTACCATTGGGCATGGCTTTCTTTTTTCCTCACACATGGGATTGTTTATTATTCACACTAAGTTAGAATTAGTGCTGCTCTTAGGCTTAGGTACCTCGGTTCTGTTCCTACTAATCATTTTATTCTGCTGTTGTTTAGAAATCTGTAACTACATTAAATTTAGGATGTTGGTTATTGTGAGTCACAAATCAAAAAATAAACTTGTGCTCTCAGCAAAATCCAGACAATGACAAATTTCACAGGACGAATGACCCAGTTTCCTCAACAAATAAATTTCAGGAAAAAAAGAGAAATTTCAAGGAAAAAAAACAAATTTAAAGAGGCTTAAGATTCATATCCACAAGTAGCACTGTGTGGGCCTTATTTGGATCCTGATTAAAGAGACAGTTTTTAAAAAATATAGTCATTTATGAGACAATTAGAAATGTGAACACCTTCTGGATATTTCATGGTATCAAGGAATTGTTTATTTTATCAGTTAAGATATCATCATCATTATGCTGTTTAAAGAATTCTTCTATTAGAGATTTATACTAAAATATTTGCACTTGAAATGATGTACAGGAGATCTGCTTTACAGTTAGAGGGAGGAGGGAGTGTGTTTATGGGCTATTAAATATTTTTCTCTGCCTCTTTGAATATTAGGAAATGAGAAATTCTGGTTTTTTGTGGACTTAAACGTCATAAAGATTAAGCCAGAGTTTAGTTCAAAATTAAGGGTAGCTGTTTTCTTCATGCTCATTTCTCCATAATGCAAATAATTATTACCCTCAGTGAGGCTTGCAAAGGGGCTTGGGGACCTGCCCCCACTTCTGCTGGGAATCACTTAGAAGCCAGCTTAATTGTTCTTAAAACAAGGGCATCCACCTGAAGACTGGTTGAGGATCATTGACTTCTGACAGTTGCTGTAAATATCACTGCTCTCAGGTAAATAAAGGAGGCGGGTTGCTTCTGGAGGCTTCTTTTAGAAGCCCGGGCTGAAGCAAAATCCTTCTTCAAAATCCTACCTGCCAGCAGCCAGGGGGATGAGCTTTTTAGGGTGAGAGGCAGTGGGCAGTGGAAAAGGCCCAGGCTGTGCAGTTGGGTCTGGGTTCCACCCCGGATTCTCCAGTCCTGCAACAGGGTCTTGGGAAAGTTACTTAACTCTTCACGAGGTTCAGAGAAAAGGCAGAGGGATGCCTGGCTGTCTCAGTCCGAAGAGCGTGCGACTCTTGATCTCCGAGTTGTCAGTTCAAGCCCCATGTCGGATGTAGAGATTATTTAAATAAATAAAACTTAAAAAAAAAAAAGGTAGAGCCACAGCTAACTTCCGGGTTACTGTGAAAAACCCAATCACATAAAGCCTATAAAGCAACTGGCCCATCAGTGGTACTCGATTAATGGTAATTAGTATTATAATTGTATGTATGATTACTCCGGTCTCCTTTCAAAATCAAGTATTTCTGAAACTATTCAATGATGCTGAAATAAGGAGGCTTCGGCTCTGGGAAACACCATTGGTCAAAGTCTCTTTTGTACTATCATGCTGCCGTCCTAATGTCAGGAAGTCTTAAGTATTAGAACCATATGGGGCCCCATGATCATTAAAGTGGGTCTTATGGTTTCCCTCTGTCTGTACCTAGAAGTTGAGAATGCAACCCACAACCTCTTGGGCAGCTTTTTATTTTATTTTATTTCATGTCTTTTTTAAAAAATAGGTTTCCTGTTTTTTAGAGCAGTTTTAGGTTCACAGCAAAATTGAGAACAAGTACAGAGAGTTCAGTTATGCCCCCTGCCCGCAACGCACACCGTCTACCCCACCAGCATTTTAATTTTGTCGATGGAAATCACAAACTGTTCCAATTTTCTAAGAAAAATACAAGTGAAAATCAGAGCTACAAATTAGTATTAGGTGGTTTTGACATCCAGTCGCTGGGTATATTTATGGGTACCTTTCTTTTATTCTTCCTGTTAATTTGTGAACAAATGGACTTGTTCCTGAGGCTTCTGCAAATTGCCTGGAATTGCTCTCCATCCGCTGGTAGAAAAATAACTTTCCTGGGCACTCGATGCAATTAGCACTGACAGCAGGGCCCCAACATCCATTCATTCTTCCATTCATCTACCTTCTCATCCATTCATTCATTCTGATATTATGATGTAAGGATGCTGGCTTATTTTATTATTGGCGGTAGCCCGTGCTGGAGGGAAATGATGGGCTGGAAGCTTCCGTGGATAACCCTGACGGTGCTTACCCACCGAGCTGCTTTTTCACAAACGTTATTTCTTTGTGTTAAAAACAACAATAAAAATTTAAAAAACCATAGAAACGAATATAATGAAATGCCGATGACCTTTACGTGCTGCAAATTCTGGATATGGCCATTTATGTTGTGCCGTGGGCTTTTTCTTCCCATCCAACCCGCGCAGGCTTTGGAAGCGGCATGGCCTACCTGCCGGCCGTGGTCATGGTGGGGAGGTACTTCCAGAAGAGACGCGCCCTTGCCCAGGGCCTCAGCACCACGGGGACGGGGTTCGGCACCTTCCTCATGACCGTGTTGCTCAAGTACCTGTGCGCGGAGTACGGATGGCGGAATGCGATGTTCATCCAAGGCGCCGTGTCCTTAAACCTGTGTGTCTGCGGGGCGCTCATGAGGCCCCTCTCTCCTGGGAAGGACCGGAACGACGCGGGAGAGAGAGATCCGCAGGTCGTGCTGGGTCCCTCCCCTGGCTCGAAGTCAAGTGGGCCGCCGGGCGGAGCAGAAGAGAAGGGTGCGGGGCCCGGGAACGAGGAGGAGCCGGTGGGTGACCTCCCCGCCCAGGCGGGCCCGGAGAAGGCCGAGCACACACAGAACCTGTGCGCCCTCCGGGTTCTGAAGACCGCCAGCCAGCTGACCGTGAGAGTCAGGAGGGGCTTCCGGGACTGGTACTCGGGCTACTTTGGCACAGCCTCGCTCTTTACCAATCGAATGTTTGTCGCCTTTATTTTCTGGGCTCTGTTTGCATACAGCAGCTTTGTCATTCCTTTCATCCACCTCCCGGAAATCGTCAATTTGTATAATTTATCGGAGCAAAACGATGTTTTCCCTCTGACTTCAATTATAGCAATAGTGCATATCTTTGCAAAAGTGATCCTGGGCATTGTGGCCGACTTACCTTGCATCAGCGTTTGGAATGTCTTCCTGATGGCCAACTTCACCCTTGTCCTCAGTATTTTTATTCTCCCACTGATGCACACCTATGCTGGCCTGGCGGTCATCTGCGCACTGATAGGCTTTTCTAGCGGTTATTTCTCCCTCATGCCCGTAGTGACCGAAGACTTGGTGGGGATTGAGCACCTGGCCAACGCCTACGGGATCATCATCTGTGCCAATGGCATCTCCGCGCTGCTGGGACCACCTTTTGCAGGTAAACCATACAAGGTTTTAAGAGCTTAGAGTACATGTGGAGAGTGAGGTAGTGTTCTCATTTATATTTTAAAGTCCAAGATAAATAAGAAACAAGTTCCCATTCGTGTACATGCTCCTTTTCTTCCCATTCTGCTCCCCCCAACTTCTCATTTGTAAATGTTAGCAACGTAATGGTCATTCTTTCAAGCAGAATGTAGGTGAACCTTGCATCTCTATCTGCAAGGTAAGTTGGCGAAGTTAGCAGTGGGTAATGGAATAGTGCAGAACCCCTACCCCATCGGGAGGAGGCAGCTTCTACCCACCTCCAGCTGATTTCTGTCACCAAGAAACATGGAAAATTTTTACCAGATCTTCTATTATTAGGGTTTTTTTTCCCCTACGAAAAACCCAGGAACTCTGGGCTCTTCGGGGACATTTCCAGATTTTTTAAATTTAATTTAATTTTAATTGACTATAGTTGACATACATTACATTAGTTTCAGGTGTACAACACAGTGGTTCAACAATTATGTACATAATGAATTGCTCATCCTGATAACCATGACATTTCCAGACCTTTAAAACACTGTGTGTAGGTCCCACACAACACATCTATGAGCTGGATCTAGGCCCATAGCAATGTCTTGTCCCTGCTATAGTAATTGCCACAAATGCAGTGGCTTAAAACAATACAGATTTATAATCTTATAGTTCTAGAGGTCAGGAGGCTAAATTGGATCACAAAAGGCTAAAAGCGAGGTGTCAGCAGAACTGCGTTTTTTCTGGAGGCTCTATGAAGGAATCCCTTATTTATTTATTTATTTATTTATTTATTTATTTATTTATTTATTATTTTTATTTATTATTTATTTTTATTTTTATTTTATTTATTTATTTGTTTGTTTATTAATTTGCCTTTTACAGCTTCTAGAGACTGCCTGCCTCTGTGGTTCCTAGCCCCTTCTGGCATCTCCTAAGCCAGTGACACAGCAGTGGTCACAGACCTCTCTGATTCTGACACTCCCACCTTCTTCTTTCACTGATAAAGATACCTGGGTTACATTCAGTCTGCGGGACAATCCATGATAACCCCCCATCGCAAGGTCCTTAACTCAATCACACCTGCAGAGTCTCCTTTGCCACGTAACATAACATTCACAGGTTCTGGGGATTAGCATGTGAGCAGCTGGGGAGGGTTGGGGCGTTCGGCACACCAGAGGCCCAGAGCCCACCAGGTGACAACATCCCAGGCAAGCTCTCTCACAAGTGTTCACCTCGGTTCAGTGGAGAACTTGCTTCTTGCAATGGACATACCAGAAATCCCAGGCACCGAGGCGTCCTGTGGGAGCCAGAACCTTTCTGAACCTGGTGTTTGTGGAAGAACACATCAGGATCGGCAGGTAGACTTAATCTCCAAGAGGCCAGGTGCTGGGCGAAGGTGACAAGGTCCCCCCTCTGTCCAAAGACTGGAGGCAGGAGTCCACATAGTGTGGCCGGGGCTGGGGCCAAACATCAACACAAAGGTGCTGTCCCGAGGTGGCCATTCGGGCTGCCGGGCTAGGACCAGTGGCTGTTGTCACAGCTGACGCAGGTTTTGTGCAGTGTTGTAAGCTGACCCGGCAGAGCCTCATCTGTTCAGATGCCCGCACTCCCTGCTCGTCTGGCTCCTCCTGGCCCTTTATTCTCATATCCTCTGCAGGAATACCTCCTCTAGGCAACCCCATGGGTGCAGGACAAAGCCCTCCCCGCCCCTTTCTTCCTGGTCTCTCTAGGGATCATAGCATCATCTCCCATCCTAAGACCCCACTGACAGAAGGCTTGTTTCAACACATTTACTTTGAAGTCCCCCACAGAATTTGAAGTTCAAGACATCATGGTTTTTTGCCTATACAGCTGACAACACTGGCAGTTGGCTGACTAAAGGATTAAGAACTAAGACTCACTTTAGGAAACCCAGTGGTCACCTATGGGGCCCCTCCTGGGCCAAGCTGCTCCTATTCTCTGCCTGTGCACAGAGAGGCAGGCACAGCATTTCTAGGTGACAGTGAATAACTATCGCAGTGCAGCAAACTATATTGGCAGCTATAAAGTTAGAACTCAGTAGTCTCGTGTAGAATTCTCTCTCAGGGATCCATTTGGCTGTAGGAGAACACCCCACCAATGGTAGCTTAAGCAGAGATTTAATAGTGTCACATAGTCCAAAATCTGTAATTCAGAGATACCAGATGGTATTGGGACAGTGTCTCCAAGATCCTCTGGCCTTTTCCTCAGGCTAGTTGCCTCATGGCCACACAATGGCTGCTGCTGCTCCAGCCCTACATCCTCATTTATACCACGAAGAAAAATGGGAAGAAAGGCTCAGTTTCAGCCGACTTCCATTTTCATCTGATTGGCCAGAACAGTGTCACACAGCTAGTTCAAGCTTCAGGGGGAACTGTATTTTGCTTCCTAGCCCCTGTACTAGATGAAGGAAAAGAGAAAAGAATGGAGATTGGGGGTTGGGTCAGGCAACCAATGGTACCTTCCAGAGATGTTAAACTGAAACATCCATTACGAGGATGCGGACATTATCAGTGGCTCATCCACTCTCGTTGAAGGTTCTTGTTGAAGGTATCGTCTGTGGGAATGGAATCTGTCCTTGTTGGTTCTTTCTGTGATCCAGGACTACTTTCTGCTTCTAATGGTCCGCCTGGGGTTATTTTTACACTGATCTACCAGATTTCGGTAGCAGCATCATAACACAGCTGTGAGGTGCAGCTTAAGCAATTCACGATCAATGTTCGTTAGGCACCAAAGTTGGCCAGCATGGCTTCTCTATCTCATTCACATGTCACATCCTTCTCACAGGATAGCATTCCAGTGCACGTTTTGGAGTGGAAGAGAAGGGAATTAGAACGAGAAGCAGGGAGTTATCCCTGGCCCTCAGTCATCAGGGGTTACCCCTGCCTGCTTCAAGCTTCCTCCCTCGAAGCGGGTCTAGAGCTGAATGTCATCCACCGTGGATGGTAGATGCCGTTGTATTAACAGTTAGGAACCGTCTATGAATGGGTGTCACGGGGACTAGAAAATCAATGTTGTGCTGTGCGTCTCTAGGCCAGCAACCTCAGGGGACTCTCCTTCTGTTTGTTTGTTTCTTCTCCTTGCACTGAAGTCATGCACCAGAAGAACGCTGAACGGCACTATTGGCTAACTGCGTTGCATTTAATTCATTGACTTTCCAGGCCAGAGAGCCAACATTGCAGTGAGATACAGGCCCGGCCTTTTACGCCTCATAGTTCGGAAGTGACGGGCAGTACGAGTGACCGAATTACCACATTACATTCTTGCTAGAAATTCGAGGTGGGCTAGGAATTATTATTACTTGCAGGGTTTGCTACAGGGAAAATTATTGTTCACATTACCTTTTTCTTTTTTAATGGGTTCAGAAATGAATGTATTTTCCATTTTTCAAAGTGGCTTCTACTGGCATTAAGAAATCTGGTGCCATTTACTAGCGTGTTAGACAATCACACAGTTCCATTTAGGAGAAGAATATACAATCAGATAGCGAACAGATATTGCAGCTGTGTCATTTAGCAACATGAACTTCTTGATCTAGTTCATTTGTAATATTGTTGGGCATTCAGTTCTTCTCCTATAAAGATGTAATGATGGTGTAAACTTTTCTAGACGTTTCCAGTGTAAAATATAGCAAAACGTGGCCACCAGATTTGACTAAGAATCCACACCTACCTCCTCTCTTTGCCTAAAATATAACACCCTAGCAACAATTTGCAGGGTTTTTCATCAAAAGCTGGGAATACCTATTTAATAAATAAGAAAAACAGACATCATTCCTCATTTGACAGACTCAAAGGAAAAGTGAATGCAATTTAATAGGGAATCAGATTTTATTTGGAAGCTGTTGATTTGAATTGATGGTTGGATCAGGGTTGCCAAGGATGCCAGGCTCTGAACCAAGGAACCGAGATCAGATCTGTAGGGAGAGGTGGTGAAAGATGCATGAGGTGGGTAGCTCGTCAGAAGCATCATTTGTCTGAAGAGTTATATCCATGTGTGCTGAGGATCAAAGCACAGAGTGAAGTCCTGTCTCTCCTGACCCGCTTTGCCTCTGATGCAGGAATGGATTCAATTCAAACTGGCAGAAATGTTAAAAACGGGCGCCAAAAGAAAAAGGGGCAGGATCCAGAGTCTTTTAAAAATAAATCTGAACGATAGACTAGAGAAACCTATGGGGTTAATTTAACATAAAATTTAAGATTACTTCCCCCAATTCTTTCCTATGAAATTGGTCAAGTTGGGGGCACTTTTTTAAAAATGGACACATGAGTTCCTGAGTTACTTTTAAAGACTGGAGTGAGAGGACAGACACCCTTTTACAAACATTTATACTTTTAGAGGAAAGAAACTATTTTAAAATATAATGAACTCAGCTAACGACCGTAACAATGTATAATATACTTAGCAGGTTCCAAAGTCTGCAGAGGCAAGAGGGGGGATGGGGTGGAGGGAAGGGGTTGCAAGGGTGTACTAAGGGGGATGGTGTTTATTACTGTCCCCCGCAGAAGGAGGACCTGTATATGTGCAGACAAGGAGCCAAGAGAAAATGTGTTTGAAACTCCAAAAACTTGTGGCGTGTGCTCATGGTTAAGCTTGGGGCTGCAGGGAAAAGAGGTAGGCGTGCAGTGGTTACTGGTGACTCTGAGCCAAGTTGGGTGCGTTCTTGTTCATATGTCAGTGTCACAGCGCCTTTCTGTTTCATTTCTGAAGCCGAGTCTTTGTTTTTTGGATTAGACGATTCATCTCCCTTGTTCCTCTTGTCTCAAATTGGAGATTGGGAAAAACTGATAGAGCATTTTACTAAAGCTACATCTCAGGAGTCCTGTGCTTTCTTCTTTTGTGTGTATCAAACAATAAACAAACTCAAAAATGTTGGTGAACTTTTAAAGGCTATCTGGAGTCTCCAGCTTTTGAGTGGTTACAATATATAAATGTTTCCTGCTGTCAAGTGTTTGTTTTTCTTTATGATGACCTTTGACTCACCCAGGTGCGTTAATTATGCACGAGACACAAATGCAGAAGACAGACAATTGCCCGGAAGTCAGAGGTACTGCTTGAAAAAAGTGCTGACTTTTGTGTAGCTATTTGTTGGTGGGAGAAGGTTGAGTCGTGCTTGTACATTATTCGTTTACCAGTTAGATATTTTTTAAAAAGATGTTTTTTGAAAAGTGGTCACAAAAACTATGGTTGGTCCTTAAATCATTCCTATTTTCCTTATGTCTTTGCTAATGAATGTACTTGTTGATATGAAAAAAAAGGGAATGTTCAAAATTTGTGTTTTCACCATAAATGAAATGCCTGTGGACGGCTTAATCCTCCCAGTTCACATGGTTTGGCTACGTGGGGACCTTGACATGTGACTGATGCTTAGATTTAATCACTGAAGTCTAATCCATTTCATAGTCTCTGAGGCTTTTCTTTCACATTTTAACATCTCTGAAATTGGAATGCATTTTACAAAGCCCCAGGAAAACAAGGAGTCATATTTTAATTGACAAGGATATTTCTTTCTTATTGCTACATAAGATAATGAGGCATCATGCAATTCATGATATCTTAGAATCCATGAAATATAGTAGTATCTTCCAGAGTGCCTAGTAAGATTACTATATGAAAGTTTTAGATTATGGTATTAAAAACTAATAATTTAGTCAGTATTGAAGGCTATATCCTTGGCAATTTAAAGTTCTTTGTATATAGAAATATTAAAGTTTTATAGCTGTAAATGTGAATTTTATAAAACATGGAAAATTTTATTCTTTCTAGAACAGATGTTTACTCTCAAATATTCCACAGTGAATGAAAGTTCAAATGCCTTCTGCTCAGCCTCTTTTGATATGCCCTAGAAACTTCTTCAGAAGAGTTATGAAGGTTTTTAGAAAAGATTTGTGGTTATATTTGTGAAAAAAGAAAATCATTAGGTTCCCTTTTCACTGTTGGCTTTGTGTCAGCCTGAGAGACTCTGAGGGCTGGGAGCCACATCCTCCCAAGGGTCGGCCAGCTACTCTATCCATGCCTTAAGCACTTTGTGAGGTACCCTCGCAGCTTGGAAGATAAATGCCTGCCATTCTCAGGCACTGAGAAACTCTGGCTTATATAGCCTGGGCTTAAAAATGGCGAACTGAAATATTTGGGTCATGACATGACATGTAAATAAATTCTCATAGAAATATTTACACTCACAGTAATTGTGTTCTTGACTTTTATCAGCTAGGTTACACTGAATGTATTCCTTTTTGTTTTGCAGGCTGGATCTATGACATCACAGAAAAATACGATTTTTCCTTCTATATATGTGGCTTACTTTACATGGTAGGGATACTCTTTTTACTCATTCAGCCGTGTATTCAAATGATAGAACAATCCAGAAAAAAATACATGGACGGTGCACACGTTTAGCGTCATGTTCTGTTTCCTGTAAGATTTCTGTGGGGTACCCATGCCTACCTCACGTGGTTGCTGTGAGGAGCCTGTGACATTGTGGGGAAGCGCTTTGTATGGTAACCTGCACTGTCATTTGTAAATGCCGTGGTCATGACTGCATTTGAAAGCAGCACTGTCTTTCCGTTTGGGGAGAAGCAATGCCGGAAGGAACGAAAGACTCCACACATTTCAGAGATGACAGTGTCCTTCAGAGACGGCCTGTTAAATAATTGGTAGAAATGCCCTTATGAAAACCACTCTTTCTCGTCATCCACTGGGACTAAGGTTTTAGATACAGCTTTTGAAACAAAAGACGAGGAATAAAATCTTTTAAACTCATCTACTCTTTGTATGGTGAAAATAATTTATCTCAATGCTTCTGGAAAGCTTGTAGGTAAATGGGTTTCAAGCACAAAAATCTCATTAGCCTTCGGAACTTGTTACAGGGGGCTGTTGATCTACTAGTGGAAAAAGTAAATGCAGACTCTGATTTCAAAGGTAATACATTTAGTACAATGAAAGAAACACAGTTTATATTTTTATGGAAGAATTCTGCAGCTAGGCGGTACAGTTTTTCAATCTCCCTCTTAAGAAAAGCATCTGTCATCAATCCTAATTTAGTATTATTTAGTTATAAACTGAATCTTAATTCAAAACCTAGATAAATAATATTGATTTCCTTAGCAAAAAGTCGTATTTGTCACAAAACACTGAATCAAGGACTATGATTTAAGCCCTTTTATTCATATCATTAGTCTCTTCATTTATGAGCATGATCTGGGGTTTATAAAATTTTTTTCTGAGTTTCTCCTGCCCAATAAATAAAACAGAGAAGGAACTGCTGGTTGGTGTGCAAAGTTGGCAGTTAAATCATCTGTGAAGTGTGTTACTGATCCAAAATGTGAGACTATCAAGTTGCAAGCATAAGGAGCGGAATGCCCTCAGTCTAGACGTCTGGGCCCCCGATGCTGGAGTACGTGGTAACTGGTGGCCCTTCTCCGGGGCCTCTTGTTACATAGACCACTCGTTTGCCTGATGCTGGAGTACGTGGTAACTGGTGGCCCTTCTCCGGGGCCTCTTGTTATATAGACCACTCGTTTGCCTGATGCTGGAGTACGTGGTAACTGGTGGCCCTTCTCCGGGGCCTCTTGTTACATAGACCACTCGTTTGCCTGAGCTTGACACAGTTTTAAAAATTGGTCTCCTGATTGATTTCATCCACAAGATGACTGTAATCCATGACATCAAATGATGCTCCTCCTTTATCTGAGATCTCTATTTTTCTAAGCCAAACAATTTTCAGCCTGCAGAATGTTCCTCCCCAGAGTCGTTTGGAAATTTCTGGTTGCCTCACTTGTTTACACATATTTTAGAACTCTTTCAATTTCCACTCACAATTTGTTCATCACACGCACACAAATCCTTTCATATCATTGCCGACGTCTTGGGTCAAATTTATCTAAAGTGAGCACAGACCATTCTTAATTATCCTTGGTAATTAGAGGCAGGAGTAGTCCTAATGATCGGAATCACAGAGTGTTACCCCCAGCGTTGTTTTAGCCAACAGTACCAACAGCTTCGGAGCTGTTAACAAGGGGTTACAAGGACAAGCCTCCATTTTCTTCCATCTCCATTATTTCCTGCTCTAATGCCTAGTGGGAGGGGTTAGATAATCAAAGGGGCCACCAAAATCACAATAATAATAAAAGGCAGCTAATGGAAAGGAAAAACAAAAGCCTGGTTAGTATACACACTCTAATATTACCTCTAATGACTCGAGAATCGCCTATAGATTGTTATAGATAATAAATTTCATGTCAGCCTCCTTTTGGTTCAACGCAACGACCTGTTTGTTATCATTACAGCTTTGGCGGCTGTTTAATAATGCAGATGTCTATTTTGATAAAGGTACTCTTAAATCCTGCGGCAATGCTCTCTCTCTCTCTCTATTTACTGTAAAGTCAGAGAATTAGACCAAGGAAACATATGTGTTTTGAAATTGACTACATGACTTCCATGACTCATTTTCAGACAACATCAAATTAAGTATTTTTTGAACGGTGCTATAGAGCCAATGCGTTTTGATGCTCACGCTGTTGGCTGTGCATCATCAACGGGAACTTTTTCCCCTTATACCCAAGGTAGATCTGCGGTTTATACAGGTGTTCGTTGACTCTCTGTGTTGACGGAATGGTGATTTCTACCCAATCAGAAGTTCCTATTTTACAAGAAAAAGACAAACAAACAAAAAAACAGTAAAACCTGCTTGCAATATTTATGTGGACAATAGAATAAAAGAGAATGCTATGAGGAATTACAGCAAATATATGAATCCTTTCTGTTTAAACGATGTTATTCTTTACAGTTCTTTGGCAATCTTGTAAAGGGTTAATTGTATATTTATACCATGTGCTTTATAGTGTTCCCCTCGCATATCTAAGTCATTTTTATTTATAGATGATGAAATAAATTTTGTCCTCTTTAAAGATGGCCAGTGTGTTTTTGTGTAAAATCTCTATTTTCTTGGCCTTAAGGGGGGAAAGTCCTAAGACAACTGATGTTTAGCTGTGTGGTTCTTTCCCCTGTAACAGTTTCTTTCCAGATGTGGTCATTGAACCACCTGGAGAGAATCACGTAGGGTGGCTGTTAGAAGTGCTAAGTCCAGCTGTTAAGTTTGAAATGTACACGCTTTTTCATCCAACAACTGCATTTCTAAAATTTTCCCCTGCATATGAACAGAGACAAATGAACAAAGATTTTTAGATTTGTTGTTTGTTGTATAAAAGACTGGAAACAATTTAAATGTCCATCAATAGAGAACTATAAAATAAAGTATGGTATTTATGCAGCTATTTTTTTTTTTTTAAGACCCATCTAGGGCTCAGTCGGTTAAGCATCTGCCTTCAACTCTGGTCATGATCCCAGGGTTCTGGGATTGAGCCCCACATCCATCTGGCTCCCTGCTCAGCAGGGAGTCTGCTTCTCCCTCTGCCCCTTCCCCCAGCTTGTGCACTCTCACTCACTCAAAAATAAATAAATATTTAAAAAAAGAATAGTGGCATTGTTTTACATTTTTGTAGATTTCTTTAATATCTGGCTTCATAGAAGACAGCTGGATTCTCATCTTCTGTATTCAATCTGTTGTGATATGTGGTTTTGATTGATATACATGAAAAGATCAGCCTTATACCAATATGTAGTTGGAAAGGGGAGGAGTATTTTAATAATCTTTTCAGATAATTGTAGATTTTTTATTTGATACTGTGCCAAAACTCAACACACTTGTATTTCTTTTTTTTTAAGATTTTTATTTGTTTTTGTTTTGTTTTAAAGTTTTTATTTATTTATTTGAGAGAGAGAATGAGATAGAGAGAGAGCATGAGAGGGGAGAGGGTCAGAGGGAGAAGCAGACTCCCCGCTGAGCAGGGAGCCCGATGTGGGACTTGATCCCGGGACTCCAGGATCATGACCTGAGCCAAAGGCAGTCGCTTAACCAACTGAGCCACCCAGGCGCCCAACACACTTGTATTTCTTAAAGGTTAGTTGCAATGTGAAATCTGACATGGTATCAGTGAACTTTTTGTACAGTCTTCACATTAGAAGCCATTGATCTGTCTTGCACTTTGGATGAATCTTTTGCCCAATAAATGATTTTGTAACATAATGCTTTAGTCATTTGGAAAATATTGGTCCACCGAGTCTTATAGATCATCCAGATATTTTTATATTTCATACAGTGTGTTTAAAAATCACACAATCCTTGTGTGTTTCCACTTATATAAAATATCCAGACTAGACAAATCCATAAATACAGAAAGCATATTGGTTGCCAGAGGCTGGGAGGAGAGGGGGAATGGGGAGTGACTGCTAGTGGGCACTGCCAATAGGGTATCCTTTTGGGGTGATGAAAATGTTTTGGAACTAGATACTCGTTGCATAATTTTATGGATCTATAAAAACCACCGAATTATATGCTCTAAAAGGGTGAATTTCATGATATGTAAATTCTATCTCAATTGGCAAGTGGACAAGCTCATGGAGGTTGATATAAATTACCCCAAATTCTAATTTCCTTTTGAAAGCTTAAATATTATCATTGGCAACAAATCCTGCAGTTATTTTCCTTGAAGTGACAGCCTCATTTTCAATAATGTGTCTGCCAAATATAAACACAGCGTTTCATGGAAAAGGCACTAGTGAGCTTGCAGCTTGGTTACAGAAGTGCTTTTCCCCAAGACAACCACTGGACTTTGATTTGCAGCAGCTGTGCTTTGTGCCTACTTCCCATTTTGTCACGCAGAATATTAAAAAGATGTGGACTCAAGAGGAAAGACTTAATAAAGAAAAGGTGATAATTTTTACGATTTCATCAAAGATAAGTGAATCTGGCCATTATTTGACTGCAAGCGCATGGCAGTGAAAAATACAATGACTTCCAGGACATTTTGGCGTCCCTTCTTTGACCCATGCTAAGGCGCTTTGACCCCATGTTGCTTTTGCACCATCAGTGCAAACATCCACACAGTTGTTCTGGGATCAGCCATGAGAGTGAATAAAATTGTGCAATATTGTGAATGTTTCAGCACCATTTGAGTTTGTTTCCAAGCATTCACATAAAAGAAGATCGGTGCAGGGATGCGGAGGGGAGTGCCTGGGTGGCTCAGTCGGTTAAGCATCTGCCTTCACTCAGTTCATAATCTTAGGGTCTTGGGATGGAGCCTCTCACTGAGCTCCCTGCTCAGCGGGGAGTCTGCTTCTCCCTCTCCCTCTGCCTGCTGCCCCCTCTGCTTGTGCTCTCTCTCTCTAATGAATAGATAAAATCTTTTTAAAAAGAAGAAGAAGTTCCCGGATTAGCTGGTGCTGATTATCAGATGAACACAAGCAAAATGGCGAGTCTAGCCACTTGTATTGACTTGTCCGTGTGTAAGACAAAAGTACAATACTGCAGAGAAGATACTAACTCAACCTTCATGTTTGCAGCTGAATCTTCAGTATGACAAGCTACTGTATCATTAGAAAGTGGCACTGCTGTGATTCCTTTTGCTGACTCTCCATCCAGCAGACATTCAGCAGCATCAGCGATATGGGCGCCTGTGTCTGTCTCCAGGCGGTTGGGCGCAGTCACTTCCCTGAGCTGTACTTCAATGGCTTTTGCATTCCTCGTTTGAAAGGCTGTAATGATCAATTTTTGGCTTTTAATGAACTCATCACATCTACATTTAAAATACTCGGTTCCCTTTTCTTTAAACCCTACATTATTATTCTCAAAATGGTGCCACAACTTGAAGAGGCCCCAGAAAGGTAAGATTTTAACATCCTAAAGCTGAGGAAAAGATAAA